ATATTACAAGGATATTCCACAAGCATGTAATGGAGCCTTTTCAGTCTGTAATGGACAGACATAAATTGATTATAACGCAGACACAGAATCCCTGAATTGAGTTTAGTCAGGTAAACAACTCAAGGTTACAGTTACATTGTTTATATATAATATTCACACATTTATTATGTATTGTGAAATTTTACAATTTAATATTAAACCACTTAAACTCCATCCAAAGCAGGGCAAAGAAGACCTGACAAAGTCATTCTCTAAATTTATGAATTTTAAGTTAAATCAACGCTTCAAGCTGCTTTTTGTAATATATACCTTAAATTACAGCCCAAAAACTCCTCACTAAACATCAACTGGGACTTCAATTATCCAATTATTATCCCTTTTTCGAATTCGTATCGTTCTCAGTTGTTCAAACTGCGTTGTGTTGCTGTTTGATTGATTTGAATGATAAATTTGTTTGTGCCGGGAATACACCACTCAAACATGGATGATGAATTCTTTTCCAAGCCAAGGGCAAATCAATCAATCAAAGGCCAAGCCTCTTCTGTTAACATTGCCTAGACGAAAGGGAATATCTGTTGCCCATTTCTAAGATTATTTTTTCACATAAATATCCTATACCAGCATGAATATAGTTCCTTTCGATTGCATTAGACAATTATTGTATGCTGGCTGATGTAATATTCTTTTTAATCAATTCAAGGATCAAACCAGCATATCCATAATATAGACTAATTTTGCCATTTGCCTGGCGCTCTGATTAAATTAGATTTGATTCGTTTGGGTATGTCTTTGCTGAGGTCCTTTTTGCATCATTTTGATTGGCCAACTTAATGGCTTTGTAATGATACCACATTGATTGGCCCTAGGGGACAGGGCCAAAATAATTTGTTTTCCGATCAATGTCCAGCGATAGGACAGAGGCTTCAGCTCACCCAATTAGCCGTCGGGGCCATTTGTCAAGGCGGCTTATTGAGGTTGCCCAGAACATGTATCGATTTGGTATTAGTTTTCGGAAAAGGTCAGCGAATCGCTGTGTGCCTCAAGTTTAGCCACAAATTGTTATACCTCAATAATTGAAAACTTACAAAAAAAAACTCGGTCTATGGAATAACTTTAGGGATAAAGTACTTGGGATTTATTTGCCACACATTTTGGCTGTTGGGGTATGCAAATGAAAGTGAAATTCAGAAGTGCCAGTAGCACATTTATTTCCATCAGACAGTGCACAAATTTTATGCAAATCTGGCAAACATTCGAAATAATATTAAGCCGCCGCAAAGTCGAGAGAAAGTTTTTCGATTTCGTGCGTAAATTATAAACACAAATATCCTTAGAAACGCTTGCCCCTGGAATTATGAGAACTTAGCCGCAAAAGTTTTCAACCGAGACGGGACATAAATCAAAGCATTCCGGTTGGCAGGAGCAGTCTGCGGCTCAATTATGCCAATTTATGCTAAAGCAAAACCATAAAACGCAATAAATAGAAGAAGTGGAATAAAAAAGGACAAATGTCGCATGCGAATGTGTCTGTATATAAATCAAATTAATACGATCCAGTGAAATGAAAGCGATTCCGAGAGCACGCAAAACGAGAAGACCAACTGGCACACGAGGCGTATGCGTAATGAGTGCAGACGTATGCGCAATTTTATGAATAATTGACAGCTGAACTTTAACAGCTGTCTGTAGCGCTAAAAAGAGCCACTCACTCACCACCATTCAGGACGAAAACCCACCCAGTCAGCCAAGCTGCACACATCCTCAATGCCATATACATTCCTTTTGGCCATCAAAGGGTCGGCGCCAATTTACATACATAAGCAAAAAAAAGAAGGAAAGGCAATTTCTGGGGGGGAGCGGATGCCAAACAGCTGCAGCTGCTCATCATCATCATTATTTTAAATAAACATTACGCTTGGCTTTATAACCATTTATCACATTTGCAGATTTATGTCCTGCCATTTGGCCACGCACTCAAAAAAGGCCAAGGAAAGTCAGGACTCAAGTAAATTAGCCTACTTGAAACGTTACGGAGATGCTCTTCAAAGGGTAAGTATAAGTTAAATATATGTATTATATTTAAAATATAAGAAATAATCTTTTTATTTATAATTTTATATTGAATTTATACAGAAATTATACCTTAATTCATAGAAATAAATATACCCTTAAGGGATCGATTTAAAATACTTTTTGAATCTAACTTTTCCTATAGATCCATTACCCTTAGTATCCAAAAAATGTTAATTATTACTATTATACTTTAAATTAAATATTATTACTAAACTGTTTTCCTTTAGTTTTACTTTTCTTAAGCTTTTTAAAATTTACACTCTATTAATTAGCTTTATATAAAATGAAAGAAAACTCCTCTATATATTACCTACAACTTGTTTGATTTTGTGTTAATTTAAACTGACTCATCACACATAATTCCCCCAATAAAACTCTATAAATCTAAAGCTAAAAAAACTACTCAATTTACTATAGAGACAACAGATTTTCCTGTAGTTTATGAAGCCCGAAGGTTGTGCAACTTCCGATATGCTCCCAACCTATATTGAGTGGATCCCAATGGCAGGGTATTATAAATCATGGCACGTCTAACAAGGCAGAGCAAAAAACGTGGAAAATCATAGCGAGTCGCTTAGCTAAAAACGCTTTCACCGTTCCGAGGATTTTTCAATCACAGTCCCGTTTTTCGAGCCTTTCACGCGGCATACATATATATTGATTTTCGCTATTTTTTCTTTCCCACTTCCTGTTTCCATGCGAATGTGCATGTATACGTTTCAGGCGAGGCTGTCCGTTTTTAATGGTAATTGGTGCCTGCATAACCATTAAAGGGTTTTATGCGAATGACGTGGACGTTACATGCGAGTGTGTTTTCGCGAGGGAGGGGGGAGAGGAGAGGCGTTGGGACTAATTTTAGGTACGTGCCAAAGTCTATGCGTTTTGGGGGTTATAAATGTGGGTTAGACTGGCTTATATTTGGATGGTCCCCGAAATTCCGTTGATTGATATTTTTAAGCCTGTGAAAAATCAACAACTGCTGTCTGGATTTATTTACAGATTTGTGTAAGTTTTACGAGGGGTTAAAGTGAGGGTGATAAAAGGAGAAAAGTCCACATTTTTAAACAGAAATACTAAGGGAATCCTTACGGAATCTCCATACAATTTTAAAAAGGAATCATTCACAATAAAGATTTTCAAAACAAAACAAAAAATATTAAAATATTTCTTTTGTATTTATTCTAAAACTCAAAGAAAATAAACTCGGTTACTTTACTCCAATTTGAATGGTTTTAAAAATACTAAACTAGAAATACTATAGCGATGTTTTAAAACTCTAATTTGAGAGTGAGATACAGCAAAAATCTATTTAATTTCGGTACATTCGTATTTAGGACGACTATTAAAAGGTATTATTAATTATATTGCATCTAAATTATGTACGTTTAACTAAAATATAAGAACTTGATATTATATACTGATCCCTAAAAGGAATTTAAATATAATTATTCAATTTGTTATGTTTGTTATTTAAGAATTTTATAGAATAATGATCAAATGTAATAAATATATTACAATATATACAAATCTGGTAACATATTATATAATAACATATTATATTATAATATAAGTAATATATTTGGTATAGCTAAAAATGTATTGGAAAAATGATTGAATTTAACTTTAATTCTTTGAGACTCTCTCTGGTTGCCACCTTAACAATGCCACGTGTCCTTTCCAGCCTGTCAACTTTTATTGTTTGGTGAAAGCACTGCGATTTCTTCGCTTTCTTTTCCAAGAAAAGTTTTGCCGGCCAACAGTTGGCCATTTTGTCTGGCCAAGATTTATGCGCGATTGCCCCAGGTTTACGAGTTACGTTGTTGCACTTCAGCTTAAAGCGCAAAAAAGAAAATGGTAAAAGGATAAGTCGGGAGGGCTGGGAAAATCCTATTTGGCTTGAAATCGCTCATCTTCAGTCGCGCGCCCTGCTGCTATTTCATTATGAGTTAAGCAAAGTTTTTACGACTCTCTGCCTTTTGTGCCAAAGCCCGTTTTGCCAGAGACAGATTAAGCGGCTTTCATATATATATGAAAGTAGGGTATAAGCGTTGGCTTCTTGGCCAGCAGCAGCAGCATACTTACACTCATGGGCAAAAGGTTAAAGTGCAACAATTTCTCAGAAACACAGAGATACACGTGTACACACAAGGGGTCAAGTTGGGCAAATGGGGATTTACATTTGTCAGCATTTTTTTTTTTTGCTACTTGGAAAAATGTTATTAGATGAGTCCCTCTGTGTTCCCGTGGTATTTGTCAACAGGAAACGGATATGACAGAGCTTGTCCAATAAATTCTTTGATGTATTTGCTCTGACAACTCCCCCGGGAGCGAGCTGAGTGAGTAGGATGTCGTACTTTATTTATGCCACTGCCAGACCCGCACCCAAACCGAATCATAAACTTGACTCAATGCCGTCATCAACAATTACGAATGTATCTTGACCAAAGAACAAAAAAGGACATACAAAATAGGAAGCTCCTGAAATTTTCCACTGTCCCTTTTTGGCTAAGCAAATATTTGGCCCATCGAAAGTTATACGTGTCTACGAGGAATGGGCAAACAAACCGAAACACAAGTCAAACAATCCATGCCGCGGTATCAAATACTGTTTAGCCCCCATCGAAGTGAACACGAAGCCAAGAAAGTAACCAAATTTGTAAGAAAATCAAGAAGGATGGGTGTAAAACACACAATTCGTATGACTCAATTTATGCACAAAGTTTGTGGCTATAAATTGTTTTAAATTATGTGGCGAGACTAGGATTTAACACTAGAATTTAAGTATGAAAAATCAAATGAATGGGAAATAAATTGTAAATTTTAAGTGACTTAGTAAATTCTAGGTATTATGTTAATTTAAATGAATGGTTTCTGCTTTTTCATGTAATCTCAACTGAGCAACCTTTGCCCAAAAAACCTTAGTTATGTCAGGCTTGGGTCTTCCCCCTTAGCCAACACATTCCTTTGGCTACTCTCGTTTTAACAACTTGGAAAATTTATTTAGAAAAAATAAAAATTTGTAAAAATTTTATGACGATTGGAAAAGAAGAGAAGGCATCCAAATCTGTAGTAACATCCAGACCGATTCGCGATGCAGGCTCACCACGCGATGCCCGACTTCCGGTGCCGGAACAATTGCCAGCACAAGGAGTGCCAGAGGCATGCTCCCCTGGGCATCATTGACCAGCACACGCAGTGCAAGTGCCTGGGTGAGGTGAATGCCTCCTCAATATTCCTGGAGAACGTCCTGGATTTGGCCAATACGCTGGCCCAGGTGATGATCATCTGCGGACTGCACGAGTGCAAGGCCAAATCGACGGTGGACATCATCTCCTATGCCTTCCTGCACTATGACCAGGTGTGTTACTGCTTGGACACCACACCGAAGAAGCGGCTGCGGAAGGAGGACCTCTTCCACGAGCTGGGCAAGAAGTCGCTGATGAACAAGGTGGAGGCCCATCTGGCCTATGCCATTATAAAGCGCGGCTTCAAGGCCTTTTACTACGAACCGAAGCAGGATTTGACCTATGACGAACAGGGCAGACCCTCCTACAATGATGAGTGCGTTTGGGTCCATGCCGCTCGCAAGTCGGCGGAAAGCTGTGCCCGCTTCGACGGATTATCCTGTGCCGAGCAGTTGGCCTACGAGGCCAAGATTAAGATCGTCTACAAGAAGTTCTATGACCGGATGCAGACCCGCAAGCGGCAGCCGGAGGGCGATGACTGCAACTGTTGCTTCTGTGCCAAGAAGCGTGGTCATTTGGTGTATGCCAAGGAGCCGGTGCCATGTAGTTCTGCACCCAAGAAGACCCGGCACGTGTGTCCCTATTGCTGCAAGAAGAAACAGAAGCAACAATATACACATCCAGCCCGCCAACCGGCCAAGTGTCCCAAGTGCCACAAGTCGAGGAAGTTCTGTTGCTGTGCCAAGATGGACTTCAACCTGCAATGGGTCAGGAGCATTTGGGAGCGACCCGATTTCAATCAGTACTACAAGAACGAGATTGCCGAAATCGAGGATCGTCTGGTCAAGGGCACCTGCTGGGTGCCATTGGAACCAGAAGAGAAGCTCGGCGACGGGGAAGAGGGCGAGGAGGAGGAGATTATTCCGGAAATGCCAGCGGAGGCTCTGCTAGCCCTTGCTGGCAAGGAGCTGCCCAGCACCCAGCCAGCCGAAACAACCGCCGAGGGTTCGCCAACAAAACAAGGATCCGTTATCGAGGAAGCTGTTGAGGCCTAAGCCCCACTCGTAGATAGGGTCGCTTTTCGGTTCTGGTTTTAGCCCTATACATACTCTCGGGAGTCCTTCAACCAAATTCAAGGTGATGCAGACCAAATTTAAGAAATAAATCATTTTATACAAGATATGGAAAATATGCGAAAAAATGGGTTCTTTTTTGGTTATTTATGCCAACTGAAGAAGTTATAAAATATATTATAACATATATTTATAGAAGGATATATAATATAATATACAAGTATATGCATGTTAAATACAAATCTTAAAATATATACAGAAGAAGCAAACTTATTTTAGCTTTACTCATCTTATTTTGGCTATTGTCTGCTAATGAAACCACCAAAACCATTCGAGTTCTCACTCAATTCGTTTCTTGGAAAAAGCACCAATTTAAACCCCGAAATCAAAGTTTGTTTTGTTCAAAATCCATGACATTTCAATGCAACCTTTTCTTAATGAATAGAACTAATTGGTTGTAAATAAGATAGACACGTGCTGCCAACCGAGTAAGCTACTGATGGCAAATTGTGTTTGCTTTTTAGGTGACACAATCTGAGCTGAGGTAAACGTGGCCATCACTTCCCATTTCACCCACTCACACACGCTCTTGGCCAGTGGTAAACTGGCCAAAAGAGCGTCTCGTTGCTGGGTGTCTACTTGGACGAAAGTGGCATGCAACAGTAATGGAAAATACATTTAATCTGGCTTATGGTGCAGCTCCCACAGCAGATAACTTGGGCGCACTTCATCACAGTACCAACGCTCCAAGGAACCCCCACAACTACACCATTCAACAGGGCTAAGAGGGAGATGTGGAGCATTCTGGGAAACCCTGAGGTGAGCTTCTCTCACCTGCAGGAAAAGAAAAGGGAAATAGTGCTGAAATGTTGACCATCGAGGCGACGGCTGCCTTGAACTTCTCTGGCAAAAGTTTGCCACTGGCATTGTGAATGCATGAAAACTTTCCCCCCTTTTCCCGGCTTATGTATGTGTGTATTTCACTCAATTTTCACTGGCGCGTTTTTGGCCAACAATGTCGGCGCATGTGGCTGGCTAGGTGGAAACTTTTCCATTTTTCATTCTCCACACTCCCCGTCTCCATTTACCCATTTTCCATTTTGATTTAAAACCAAATTTGAGCGGTACTCTCCAGGTTGTTGGTGTAATCAAGTGGGTTAGGCATCATCGACAGACCACAGAAATAACAACGAAACACAACCAATGAAAATTTACACCTGTCGACCGCAGCAAATTGCAAATAAATTCAAATATGCTTTGTGGTTCAAAGATGGGTCATAAATAATTGATGATTTTGATGTTCAGATAATTATATTTTCGCATTTTAGACAACACGAAAATTGTATCAGTTATTGAATTATTCAACGGCTACGAAACAAACGAAATATTCAATTCAATTAGTTGGAAAAGTCAGAAAGAGAAAAGGCCTCTCACATTTCCATTACCAGGTCTTAAAGGCATTTTTCGGCCTGGTCATGAAATTAAATGGATTTTTTGGCTAATGAAATTCAGGTGGTAAGTCTTGGTAAGCAATAATCGTAAGTCTAAACAGAGCAATGAAGGCTGATTGCAGCGCAATGTAAGAAGCTTTCAAACTAATTACAAATTCCACCATAAGGCGAGAGTGTCAAGTGTCAGACAGAAGTTTCCCTTACTCGTAAAAGAAACTTAATTAAGGAAAAATGAAATTTTGTTCCGCATTAGTCCGTGTCGCAAGTGGGGGCCCAGTTAATTTCTCAAACATGCCACGAAGCGTTCAGGTAAAAGGTAAATGTTATGCATACTTTGCACATGACTGGAAATTGGTAAATGTCTGGAAAACTCGCCCACCTGTGCCCTGCCATATTGCGCACCTTTTCCGAAGCAATTTTCAGGGGAAAATTGTGCGGCGGAAAAATATTATACTAAATATTGAAATTGAAAAAAACCTGATTCTGCATTTGAACGTGTTCCCCAGTCGACACACACTTACTACTATGTACTATACATTGGAAATGCAAAACTAAGATGGTGGAATGGCTAGAGCCAAAGAAATGCGCAAGTCACAAGTGGATTTTCGACAGGAAAAGCCCTTCAGTTTGCATTTGTGGTTATCCTCTTTCCCCAGAGCTCAAATCTTGGTCTATGCGGTCCACAGATTTCCATTTGTATGAATGCAAAACGTGCTTCTGTTGCTGGAAATTGGATTTTGTATATATTGTGCATTTGCCATTCGAAATAATATCTTGGCCTGGCATTGTGGCCATAAATGTGTAAGTATGCTAAGTAGTTGCCAACTCTCTTAGCTGTCTGTACATTTTCCCATAAAATTCTCTATATCTCTTTTCCCAACAAACAGACAGCAAAGCAGTTAAGCTAAAAATAGCATTCGTGATTTCAATGGTTATTTATTCAAGTTCAAGTGCTTAACTTTTCCGTATTCCTTGCTGGAAAATCAATAGGACGCGATATTCTCCCCCATTGACGACACATTTGTTAATGAAAAACTGGTGTTTTCGCCGAAGTCAATAGTTCTATTTATATAACCACCTTGACGTATGAGTAACGCGGCCAAAAGCCCCCTTTTGACCAACTCTTTTGTACTATACGTTTTTCTTAGTTGCTTTTTCCTCCCTATTTTTTTTTGCATATTACACGAGTGGCTTGCCTGCGTTCTTTCCTTGGCCTGACCAACTTTTAGTGCGCAGAAAATAAATAATAAATGAGGCAACAATGAATGGGCGACGGCCAGCGACGAAAGGAAAAACACTTTCCTCGGCCCGGCAGACAGGGCCGTAAAAATTGACAAGATATAAAACCAATATTTCTATAAAGACGGAGGAAGGCGAGAACAGAAAGTTGCCGTCGAGGAGCATCGTAAAATAATACGGCCCAATAAAAAAAGAAGATGAGGAAAATTCAAAAGAAAAATACATTTAGTTATGACTTGACGCGTCTCCGTCTGGAGCTTAAGGACGACTTTAAGGCGGGACAGAAACCATAAACATTTTTACACTCAAATTGATAATCTGGGGCAGGAGTGTTAAACTTGCCGCTTAACGCGGGGGAAATCAATTGCAATCGATGGCAACGAAGGACAAACTGGAAATTAAAGCCAGCTGAAATTTTCCCAACTGGACTCAATGCCGCATGATTTTCATATTAAAATGAAAATGGAATCCGCCGGCGTCACAACAGACTTTTTAATGACCTTCCCACAGCCAATTTCGCGGCCAAAAACACACACACACACAACCCGATGATGGCCATTTGTTGGCTTATATCCGCTGAGCCAGTTGACAGTTTAACGATTTAATGGGGACAAAGTGAGGATTGATCGGTGTCCATGGGCATATAGTATATGTAACTTGTATATGCAGTCAAAGTTAGGGCGGTATTTCGCCTATGGAGAACCTCAATTTGCATACTAAATATTCATAGATTTGCATATCACTGACGGCAAACACTGGTTGGGCTCTATCAGGACATGTTCCTGTTATAAATCTTGGCAATCAAGCATAATTAAACTGTCGACGTAATTAAATTTATCGTACGCACTGTATGTGTAGCATCGTTCAATTTCATACCTTTTGGCACACGTTTTTATAGCCTCTGAAAATTGGCCTGTCCGAATCCATGTTTGTTTCCATTTTCCACAACTTTCTTTGTAAATTTATATAGCTATTATTTATGCCAGAAGCTGCAAACTACCAAATGGCAATAACAATAAATATTTCCTTTTATTCAACAGGGACAAGGGACCACATGGACAAATGTGTGAAGGTAGAAATACTGCAGCATCTCAAATTTTGTAGAAAATTAATTGGTTTCGAGTCAGATGCGAGTATTCATTTGTTTTGCAGACACCTGCATTTTGTAATTTATCTTTTTAACTTTAAACTATAATAAAACATTGGTTAAGTAAAGCCTTTGATACTTGTACACATATTCCCATTTAATTTCTTCCTCCTTTAATGTCCCTTAAAAATTTGCTAAAAAATATTTTAATACATTCTACACTTAGCAACTTCTTTTCCATTCTTAATTAGCGCTTTATTACGGTTCTCTTTAGTTGCAATCACAAATCCCCGGCTAAGATCCCATTAAAAGTTTAACACCAGCTAAAATTTCGTACTTCTCAGCTTTCCTGGAGGCCATTAGAGACCACGGGAAATACTCGGCGAAGGAAATTAATTAGGAAACATGGCGGACTCGACTTAGCCGAGGCCGAAAGTTGTTAATAAAATTATTCAGAGAGTTTCAGGTTCAAGTACACACAACTGTCCCAGGGTTGGTCTAAATGCTTTCGAAGGGCCGAGCCAAAGTCTAGTTGCTGCTGCTGCCTTTTGAATGCGAAAAACGCTTTTCTGTTGGCCATTATGCGAGGCGTAATCACGTTTCAGCTTTTGCCTGAGCGCTCTGTTGATTTTCGGGGGCCCCGTTTCCCGTTTCCCGGGCCCCAACGCCATTCCCTTGCCGTTTTGCGGCTTTCCTTTTATGGAAATTTCATTTTGTGCCAGCTGCAGTTGGAGCGATCACGTAAGTGCAAATGGCCAAGTCCACGGAATGTTTTGTAAGCCAATATGTCCTCGGCTGGCTCAGAGCTCCCATTGCACACGCTGGTTGCACCATTTGCAGATGGATTCTTTACGTTTTTCTTTTTCTTTTCCTATGTTTTTTTTTTTTTTGTTTCTTGTTCAAGCTATTTGCTATTTGCATGTGGGGCACGCTCCAGCGACTGGCATCTAGAATGCTACGCTTTGTTTGCCATTTGTTGCCGCTCAAGTCACCGCACATTGGGGCAGCTGGGACCAGGGAAAGCCGGCGCGAAAAAAACCCCAAACCACAAGCACCTGCCAGGATTTTTCTTTTTCCTTCGAACACATTAGGCAAAGAAACAAATCAAATATTGCATAATTTATGCTATACGACTGCCTCGTAAAACTAATTGAATTATTCGCTTAATATTTATGATACTCTAGGCGATGCCACTAAATTAATTATTTAAACAGAAGGAAATGGAAATTTAGGAACCAAACACATGGTAGATAAATAGGCAAAGGAATATGATAAGGTAAAATAAAGGATATATGTATAAGTTGATTAATCATTTAAAATGTATAGAAACAAGTTTAGCATGAAATTACTTAAATTTTGAGATAGTACCTAATTAAAAAATTGACTATTAAGCACTTTAAAACTTTAAAATGAAGGGAAAACCAATTTTAAAACTGTCAATCAAGTTTTTGACGCTTTTCAACCACTAAAAACAGAAAATGAAAGTGATGCAGAACCCTTTCAAGCTGTCATTCGTGGTAACTGGTCCTTCTGACTCCCGTGGCACATTTATTAACAGCCACGAGATCGGGAAGCTGACCAAAAAGAAAACAAAAATTACGAGCAACACAATGCCAAGACCTGATGGCAGCCCACGCTCGTTATCCTTCGTCAGGAAGCCACGATGCCACGGGACACAAAAGGGAGCCACAATAAATAAACTCAGGAGCTCCGCCACACCGAAACGAACCGAAACCAGGACAAAAACCAAACCGAAACCAGAGCCCAACCGTGGCCAGGCGCCAAAGCTGAGTTAAAAGCAGCCAAAAGCGGTGTGAAAATGCACCCGCGCTTTCTTATTCTACGGAAAATTGCAGCATAAAATATGTTGTCAGTGACAGGAAAAACTGAAATTATTACACTGCCCACTACCAAAGTTGTGAGCTCTCACTCTCTCCAATTCATGGAGTTTTGTGAACTGGAAATTGCGACAAATTGGTTAAGGTTTATCCAGGGTAAAAGTTTCTAGTGTTCCCGAGCCAGTATTGTTGAAGTAAAGTGGAGTTATAAATATTTAATAATAACCAACGCAGATGGTTTAGATTTTTAATTATCGATAAGGAATGTAGTTTTTTAGTAAAGGTAAAGAATATTTTTCTTTTTCTATAAGCGATTTTTTGCGACCTATATATTTTACATTAAAATGGAACACACTGGCATTTAAATATTAAAGAGGATTTATTAGAAAATAGGTACTGACGAGAACCGTTGGAAAAGATATAATAATTTCATACGAAAATCATAGTAATAATGCTCTATTTGATGTATTTAAAACTTACAGTCTATCCCGATCAGATTTTTTGAAATAACGTCTCGATTTTAAGTATCTAGAACTTAAAACATATTTTGGTAGAAAAGCTTTTTGCCTTAAAATTTTTAAATATATTAAGTGTAAACATTTATATTTTAAACATAAATATATATGTTATCCTATAAAATATATTTAAAATGCTTTTAGCTTGCTTTTATGAACTTATTCCCAATTAAAATTCACTTTGTTTCCTACGTTTTGCTTGTTTTTGCTGAGGTTTTCAGTGCTCTCTTGTGGCCACTTTGACGCTGACAGTTTTGTGATTCGTCATGCGGCAGGAAATGAGGTTTCTCAAGTTTTTTTTCAAAAGTGCATTTTCTGCAACTGACACACTGTGACTAGAAAGGAATTGAGAAGGAATTGAGTAGAAATTCAGGTGAATGCAAGAAACTGTCAATGTGTCGACTGCAACGAAAGCAAGAGCTTTCATTAACGAAATCCAAAAGGACTCTATAAGTTAGACCGATTTATATTGGTTGAACGCTCAAAATGGCATTAAGCGTTTAATGGTGTGTTTTACCAAAATTAGTATAATACATAAATTATGCTATGCATATTCATGACTTGGTCATGCGGCGGGCAGCGGCACTTAATGGCAATGACTAATTGAAGTCTATGGGGTCGTGGCCCACTGCCATAATGCCGCAAATTAAGTTGGCAAACACTTGTTCTGCCAATTTATTGTTGAAGTTCGAGTTAATTACTTCTTTAGTTAGAGGGGACATACGTCAATTAGTTAATAAAATTAAATGGAAACTCAAACAAATCACCGCGAACCGTGATCGACATGTTTCAAATGCCACAAATCAACAGCGGTCCGTGGGTGTTAAATTAAATAATTTAATTGGAGCTAAAAAAAAATCCTGGAAAATAACATCACGACCTAAACGCTGAAAAAACCCGTAACCTGCTAAGCCAATTAAAAAATTCCATCTACCTTACAGTTCCATTAATATAAACTTTAAACGGAAAAACCAAAAGATTCCCATCGTTCTGACGAAACACGCAAGTGGAAAAGTTTTTTCTCACCAGTCCCAAAACTACACAAGAAACTGAATGAAAAAAGGAAAAAAGGAAACAAACATAAATTAAAAGCACGTACACATTTTTTATGCAGCTCACCTGCCAAACAAAAAAAATAAATCAAGTCAAATGAAATTAAAATAAAATAAAACTGCAATGCCTCCCAAAAATAAAGGAGTGCAAAATTTTTACATTCCAATTAAAGGTGGTTACGTGGGGCAATAAATCAACCAAGGTAGGATAATATCAAAGAAAAACAGATAGATAAGAATCCCAATTCCAAAATAAAGGTCAATCTGTGAGGAAATTTGCTTTAAGAAAACAAAAAAGTAATAATGAGAGCTCAAAGCAAGAAATATTGCGTATACGCCCGGTGTGCCCTAATGAGCTACCGAAATCAAATAGATGGAGTTGCAATTTCTTTCGATTACTTACCACTCCGCTTCACAATGGGATTGGCCATGTGGCCATAGAGACGACTCAAATCGATGGCCATCGTGCCGGTGGTGGCCTGCAGGAGCAGCAGGCACACAGCGTAGGTGGGCCACATGTTGAGATAACGGCGGTGGTGGTGGTGATGATGATGATGGTCCACGTCCATGGACTGCCGGGGTGTCGAAAAATTGAAACACTCGCCTTGGAATCGAAAAGTTTTTCACACGCGCACGCACCCGCACACGTTTTCCACTTTAACCAAGTGTTTTGATGGGGTTTTCTATCTTCGTTTTTTCACTTTAGTTTCAGGGGTTTCTGCTCTTTCGCAGAAGCAGTTTTCCGGCAACTTTTCCTCGTGCCACTCGGCGGCCCTCTGATTGAATTACCGCTTTGGCCCCCTCAGCCACTGCAACGGGCTCTCCCTTCGTCCTTTCGTTCGTCCTTCGATACGCTAATCGTTCTCTAATGGAGTTATACGCACCAGAAATTAGCTGCGACCTTTTTCCGTATTCCCTATCTTTAACGTTACTATAAAGTTTCGATTCGTTACGTTTCGTTTACGTTTACTACGTGGTTTCTACGGACTACATGCAAGCTTTAACCCGTTTGGTTGTTTTTCGGTTGTTTGTTATATTTTTTTGTTGTTGTTGTATATATTTTGTTGATTTTCGTTTTCGTTTTTCGTTTTTGTTTTTGTCGTTTTGTTGAAATTAAAGTTGAAAATAATTTTGCAGGCAAACAAATATTTATATGTGTATATATAGATATATGTTTTTAGTCGACTTTTTACATTTTTCTACACTGCAACGATAAGATAGAAAAGGTAAAGGTCATTAGCAAGAAGGTTTTATTTACATTCTATATATTATTTATATTAAAACAACAGAATTTCCCAGTCTGACTTTCATATAAACAAAATAGGAGTCCAAAAGTGAATATACTCCCATTTAATTGCCACATTTGATGACTTATTCTGGCAACATATTTTTAATCTGCAACAGAAACCCTGAATTGAGACCTCAAGAGTTGTCCTTTGGCTTATCCTGAGTCGTCTCCTGGAAGCAATTTACATACCGCAGCGAGTCGAGTCACCTAATCAGCTTAACGAACTTTAACTTTAACTTATCCTCGCTCATTTTCCGTTGCTTGTTTTTTTTTTTTGGGCATATAACGGCGACAGTCGCCAGTTCACCAGGGAATAGAAAAGTTGAACAACCCTTTTTCGTATAATTTTTAGATGGATTTCCAGCACACTCACACACTCGAGCGACCCTTAATGACTCTCTCGAGCACCCAGAACACATACGGAGCGTGTAACCGAAAGGCGGCAGTAAAAAAAGAATGAAAGCGACGGGAAAATGGGCAAAAAGAAGGCCAGACATAGACGAACCTTTAATTATGGCCAAGTTAACCCTTCAATTTTTTTTTTTCTTGCTCTTTTCTCTGCGCCAGCAGAAGTTGGGGAAAAAAGTGGGAAAGTGTTTCAACTTTCGGGTATACTTTTCGGGGCAATCAAAAATGGACACACGACAAAACACACTTTTGCCCTTCCATCGAAACCTTGGCCCCCCTTTAATTTGAAAAGGGAAAAGTTAAGGGCAGGACAGCGCAGTCAGGCTTTTTAATTAGTCCTTTTCCCTAGCTCTCGAAATCTCTCCTCTCCGGCCTTGAAAATTGAATAATGAACAGAATAATATTTATTCGAATAAGCAGAGCTTAGCTGAGAGATAAGTTTCGTGTTGAAATTTCAACTTTTTCCAGGCTGTTAAAAAGTTTCCGCTTAACCAAACTATAAAGTTTTGATTGGCTTTAATTTTAAGCTATTCGAAAAGGACAAAAGAAAATTTTAGCTCAGCCACCAGTGAATTAAGCCGTTAAATCTTGTAACAATTCCCAGGAACACATAAACTACCCTCAGCCAGGGATATAAAAACAAAAATAAAGAACATAAAATTCTCTCTAATAGCCTGAAAATGAAACTTCTGCCTTGGCTAAACCGATTTAATAAACACCTAAAAAGGCACACGGCATCAGAGTCGTCCGGAAAACACGCAGAAATACAGAACGATATCCTGGCAGGAAGGAGGAGCATTGGACTCCTAAGACACGTTAGCCAAATAGTAAATATCAGCCACAGGAGACTCACAGACAAATAGAGGAGACCAGGAAAAATATCCTGCAAAGGCGAAATGCGGGGAAAAGTAAAGTGAATTACTACCAAAATGTGGCCAAATAATGCGGCGTAAAACGCTTGAACGCGAATTGGTCGGGGTTGAAGGTAAAAAGAGCATGAGGTTAAGTGTAAAAAGCCATTTGTAAAATTTGGAAAAATAAAACAGGTGAAAACGATTTATAGGAGAATTAAGAAATAGGTTTCAGAGGCGCCACCACTGAGCCTTGTGGGAAATTAAAGATATCAGAATAAGTTAGGGAATAAAACATTGTTTTATATGATGTCTCTTGTTAAAATTTAGTATTTAGCAGGGGATTAACTTAGAAAAATCAAACTGAGACTTTTTATCTAATTATAAAAACATCAAGCCACATATTTTGATATGAAAATGTGACTAATTAATACATATTATAAAAGTATTTGCACTTTTCTTTTCCTAAATAGTTGTAAGAACAAAATCACACACATTTGCTCAAGAACACCTTTATTTCCTATCCCTAAAATCCTGGGATATTCACACCTAAAACGTTTTTAAGCCGATTAAATGTCAGTTTTGGCTGGAAGGTAAAGTTGTTCTTTTGTATAGAAATAAGAGAAAAACTGAAAAGCCAGAAAACTTTTCATAGCATTAAATCCAAGCATTTTCTTTGGCCACCTTGGCTTAAAAATAAAACACCAAACAAGAGGCGACCAAATCACAAACAAACATTAATTTGCATAATTTACTGTACGGTCTGAAGGGCGGTCACCCAAACAAAAATGTGCCAGCATTTTGGCTGCCAGTATTTTTGAAACCATTTCTTTTGCATTCTTTTGCTCCTCTCCATTGTACTGGTTTGAGGGTTTGCAGGGGAGGAGGGAGGAGGGTTCTTAATGCATAATTTAACAGCAGCCTGAAAAGCCAGAGCAGGGGCGGTTAACCGTGCGAGGGGAGCTCAAAGAAGTTGGGAACAATCAACAACTGCGTGTTGTTATTCAAAGCACACGCACACACAGACACAGGCACAGGCACAGGACTCAGACTCAGCCTCAGACGAACAACCACCAGGCGCACACGGCGTATACGCAACGTGTATCATGGGAGTAGGAACAGGGGGGGTTGGGCAAGGACTAACGAGGCCTAGGCCTGCCAAAAGAAAAAATCCGAAATAAATATAAGAAGAGTGCTGAAGGAGCTTGGTATGGGGTAGTAAGTATAACGTAAAGGTAATGAAGAGCAACAGCAACAGAGCGGAGCCGTAAAGAAGCAATTTTCCGCACACACACAGATTTTTCTTTTCAACTCAAATTTCGTGGGAATTTTGCGATTTGCGGGTGCTTTGACAGTTTTCTTCTTCCTTTTTTTTGCACAATCTTAAAGGGCTTAAAGTCACAGAGTCATGTTGAAGCACACGCGTAAGGTTAGCCACTTGAATTCCACTTTAGTTTTAAAACTCCATTTATTTATTTATATATATTATATTCTAAAATATTTTCCAAGAGTCTGCTTAGGTTTACAAAAGTTGCCAAAAAATAGAAATGGTTTTACAGTACGTTTGAGTACGAGCCAACAACTCGAACCACTATTTACAACTCCGCTTGAGTGTAAGTTTCAAACTCGACTGAAGCGTTGAGCGGTTTGGCTTCGACTTTTAAGCACTTTTCCGAGCTTCCCACGCACGAGTCCTTCTCGAGTGAGTTTTCCGTTGTGGTGAGTGGAAAAGTCTCTCGGAGACTTTAACTCTCTCTCTCTCTCTTGTTTCCCCTGTGCGTTTGAGTTTTCCCCCGCGGCATTCGCTCTCTGCCGAGCTCCTCTCAATGCCACTCGCAGGACTCGAGCACCTGGCTCTGGGCCATATTTCTTTGGTTTCGTTGATGGGCTTTGGGCTGGCTTACCAGGAGCGCTCCCGAGCCCTAAGGGGTAAGGGATTCTTCGAAATCTCTAAGAGCTGATACTTGATTATGAATTTATTGGCCATGATTGGGTTTCAATTTCGACCACTTAGGGAACACTTAAATGTTGTCATTAATGAGTTAATTGGGGTGACATGGACGATGAAAGTTTAAGCTATGAAAATATATTTTATGTTTAGCTAATAAAATAATCTGAAAATGTTCAAAATTATATTATACTTCTGTTTTATTATGTTTTACGAAATGTTTTAAAGAAAATATTATACCATAAATGTATATTTGAGTTGAAATTTTATAAGTTTTGGGCTAACAAATTCTTATAGACATCAGTTTTCAAATAAAGTCCCAGCTTAACTAAAATTAATTTATATGACAAGATAATTAAGTTGCTAAGAGTTCTAAAAATGTGGTTAAATAGATAGTTGGATCCAAGGACATATATATACATATATATATAACCTTTTGCAAGTCCTCTCTCACCACAGCCTGATAATCCTTTCGCCACTTAAGGCAACCCACGCAAAACCTAGTCTCGTCGTAATTTAACCAATAAATGAAGCAACAAATATTAATTAGCGCGAACAGACCAAACAGCATCCGCATGGCCGTGGTTTTGTAATGAAACATGGCCCAAGACGAGAGAGAGAGAGGAATTGCAGAGCAAGACAGTGGGTCAAAATGTAAATAAAGCTAAAGTTTGTGAGTGTAAGAGAGATGCTTGAGAGCGATAGAGAGAGGGCGTGAGCTGGAAAAGCCGGCCCGCCCCAATTCAACCTCCCACGCAATGTCCTCCCCAGTTAAGAACTCAGAACCCCACGAATCCCACAGTCCATGCGAAAGTATCCAATAGTTTTGTGGTGCCAACCGGGCATCGTTCCTGGGCGCCCACGCAGGACAGCAGGTGACGCTGATTCGACGATGTCCACAAAGCGTTGGCGTTGCACTCAAGTGGGGAAAAGTGGCGGGCGAAAGCTTTTCCGAGGGCGGGAAATAATCAGATACGAGGTTTATGGTAAGTTATTCACGATTTTCATATTCCGCAAGTTTATCGCAGTTTAGGTTAAGGGGGGCTTTAAATACATAAGTGTATTTTATAAATATATTATATATATTTATTTAAAAATAATAAAATCTGCTAAACCGCTTAGTTCATGACAGCTTTGTGTACTCTTCGGAGTCAGTTGATCTTTTCGATATTAAATCAAATCTGTTTTAGCAGCTTTAACTTGTTTATATTATTAGTAAAAATGTGTTAATTTTACGTTTAAAAAATGTACTAGCCAATTTCTTTGTTTTCTTTTATTTGTTTACACTTCACAGGTCAAACCTCAATCTTAAGAGCCGGCGTAGGTGTCCCTTCACTTAGAGCCTTAATCAAGCCAATCAGGGCAAGACAAACAAAGCGAAGAAAGTGCACAGGCTAAAGGACAAGTGCAATTTCCTAATCAACAAGGATGCCGCATTCAAGAAATTTGTTTGCCCAACCAGGACAGCCAAGACATATCACTTAGTGTCCAGCATCACTCCATTTGTCACTGTTTACCCACGAACGAGGGGACAAGGGACAAGGGACCCCAGAGGAGCTACTTCCAGGACATTTTCAAATGGGCTCTCATCACCCGACGCATTGTTTATTCAATAATTCATTCAAGTGGATTCCGGACGCTTCATATGTGGCGTCGCAGAAAGGACATCACACGCAGCTTGGCCAGATTCATCTGCACGCTGTCCGACACTCGGATGCTGGCCAAATCCTCCACATGCGAGTAGCCTGCGGCACGTGGCACCAAACTGAGTGGGGTCGCTCAATCATTTGACAGGGACAAGGACTTACCCGCCAGGACAATGGCCTGGTCCCCCGTTTGCTGGCCCAGAGCACGCCACGGATCCAGCTGGCCATGCGTGAAGATTACCTGAGCATAACGCTCGCTCTGATTGAAGCCGAATCCGCCGAATTGGCTATTCGTTTGTTTGACGCCCTGGGCCAACTTCTGGGCAGTCTGCTCCACTCCGAACGCATCCTGGCAAAGGGACACGAAGTAGGACAAGGGCACCTCCCTGGCAAAGGCACTGGACAAGGAGGATGACGATTTTGTGGTGGTGTACCAGCCAAATTCATTGCAAGTCTGATAAAACCACGCACGAGCTGAAAACAAATTGATTATTAGTATAAAAAGTCATCTAGCAGTTCCTGTCATACTTCCTGAACTTTGATCTGCTCCTTCGCTGAACAGTTGCAGCATGGAAGTGTAACCAAAGTCTTGGCATTCCGACGTTCGCCTGCCCTCCGAATTGAGTAGCTCCAAAAAGGCCATGAATGCCACTTCATCATTGGTGTCCAGGGACATGAGAGTCTCACAAAGTCGGGGTATATAGGCACTGCAAAATTTGTATTTTAAATAAATACAAAAATTGAACAAATGCAATATCAATCGCACCTATAACTTTGCACCAATAAAGCAAAATAGTTGCCCAGGCCATTGAAGAAAGCTGCTCGATCCAAGGGATTTCTGGGATTATAATTCTCACAAGCATTGAATTTATCCAGCAAATCTTTGATATCATTGTCATCAAATAATTTCACCAAGTGCTTTAAACCTTTTTCAATCCGCAAAGAGCAATTTTGTCCATAGCTCAGCTTAATAGAGCTACTGACCATATCCATGTATTCTAAAAGATGAAAGATTTGAATATAGGATATAAAAGTGTAGAAATTCCCACCTACCATAAAAATCTGCCTTGGCCTGTAAGGGAGCACTGGAAGCCCAACTGGCAGCTATTAGCTCTGGATACAGTTGAGTCATCCAAGTTGCCATGCTACCCGAATAAGAGCCTCCCACCAAAATTACTTTGGAATCTCTCAATTCAGAACTCTTTGACTTTTGATGGCGTATGAAGTGAGCCAAGTCAGCTAATGATTGATGAAGATTCAGTTGCTTCAAATAGGGCTGTTGAAAACTCTTGTCTCTGTAGTAGGGAAAATTGTAAAATGATTAAATCCTGACTTACTAAGCCAAGTTGTACTTGTACCCATGAGGCAAACTTAATCCGTAGTAGCGATGTTCAGTGTAAAAGAGCATTCCTGAATTTTCCACAGCCATGTCGTGGGTTAATCCCGTTCCTATTAATCCGGGACTGATGGTCCACTCTCCGCCCAGGAATATATAGATGGGTCCTTGGGGAACATGATACTTGGCATTGCGCAAATATCGCTACAAAAACTATATTATGCACATTTGATTTTATGGATATTTATCTTACCATTTTCCAAGTCTTATTGTTATTCTCATCCATGTGATCGACTTTTTGGTCTAACCAAAGTTCCTCCACTGAGGCCAGTTCCTTTTTTGTATACAATCCTGAAAAGGGTTCTTTATTAAGTACTTCCAAGCTCCTTTTATAGGGATTGGCCTTAAAAGCCATTAAATTTGGCAGCAAAAATAAAATTTGCACTGCATAAAGCGGCTTCATGTTGAGTGAATAAATTTACAGTTTTGCTCATAGTTTTTATTAACCAATATCAACCAACCCCTATTGTTTGTGCTAGAGAAAAATGAATAATTAAGTTATCTAAATTCTAAAAAATTGTTTTACTAAACTAGATCAAGGTGAATTCAGTAAAAGTACTGAGAGAACAAAAGAGACACTGAATAAAAACAGGACTCATACATATCTTATGTGTAAAATATATTTCCCTCTCGCATAGATTGGGTTTTTATTCACACTTTTTGAATCCGATTTTATTTTTATATCCATGTCTGCCTCAATATATTTCAAAAAGCTCTAACAATTTTACTGCCTTCACCTTTTTTGTTAAAGGTGTCTCCCAATGACTTAGCCCAGTTTAGCCTGCTTTAAGCCCCTTGGAGCCAACCCCTCGTATGCGCAATGACGCTGCAGGCACAAAAACAAACACACACTCAAATAAAACCCACACACGCGTGTGTGCTACCCTGCAAACAATTTGGCGATTGTTGAATCGCCGCTCGCCAAGAAGAGTCTTCTGGGAGTCGCGGTAGCAATTACTGGAGGACTTTTTTGTGACGATCTTCTAGAAGATTGATCTTCCAGGCGATTTTTAAGGTAGCGTCAAAAACAAGGAATTGAAGGAATATAAAAGTAACAAAAAAGTAAATAAGAAAAAGGTAGTTGGCAGCAAATTATTTTCAGCGATTGCCAGAAGAGTCTTCTGGGAATAGCGATAGTTTTGCTTTGCCAAATTCAATATTCCAGCAGTCGCCACCGCGAAGACGATCGCCAAATGATCGCCAAAGATCCCAGAAGACTCTTTTTGGAACTACCGTTTCATATTTCTTCATTTCCTTGTTTTTGACGCTACCTTAAAAATCGCCAGTAATCGCTACCGCGACTCCGGGCGGCGATTCAACAATCGCCAATAAGAAGTAAATTTATTTAAATTGCTTAAGAAATTTATTCATTACGATAAATACTAAATACAATATATAAATTTGTTCAACTGATAGCATCGAATATATAGAAATAGAATACTTCTTTAAGTATTCTAACTAACTTTAGAAAAAATCTTTTTACAAACTATCAAAATTATATAAAGTTTTGTTGAGTATGGTATATTAATCATAACTTCTTGGCGACTCCCAAAGGACTCTTATCGGCGGGCGGTGATCGCCAATGATCGCCAATGATCGCCAAATCTTCTTGGTGACTCCCAATGATCGCCAATGATCGCCAATGATCGCCTAATGATCGCCTAATGATCGCCTAATGATCGCCAAATCTTCTTGGCCAATAAGAAGTAAATTTATTTAAATTGCTTAAGAAATTTATTCATTACGATAAATACTAAATACAATATATAAATTTGTTCAACTGATAGCATCGAATATATAGAAATAGAATACTTCTTTAAGTATTCTAACTAACTTTAGAAAAAATCTTTTTACAAACTATCAAAATTATATAAAGTTTTGTTGAGTATGGTATATTAATCATAACTTCTTGGCGACTCCCAAAGGACTCTTATCGGCGGGCGGTGAAATTGCTTAAGAAATTTATTGGCCAATAAGAAGTAAATTGCTTAAGAAATTTATTCATTAATAAATAATAATAATAAATAATAATAATAATAATAATAATAATGATAATAATAATAATAATAATAATAATATAGAAATAGAATACTTCTTTAAGTATTCTAACTAACTTTAGAAAAAATCTTTTTATCATCTATCAAAAATATATAAAGTATATTAATCATAAGGCTCTTCTTGGCGACTCCCAAGGACTCTTATCGGCGGGCGGTGATCGCCAATGATCGCCAATGATCGCCAATGATCGCCAATGATCGCCAATGATCGCCAAATGATCGCCAAATCTTCTTGGCGACTCCCAATGATCGCCAATGATCGCCAATGATCGCCAAATCTTCTTGGCGACTCCCAGAAGACTCTTCTTTGCGACTCCCAGAAGACTCTTCTTGGCGAACGGCGATTCAACAATCGCCAAATTGTTTGCAGGGTAGTGCAGACAACGCGAAAAAGAAAGCATAAAAACATTTTACAGCGTTGACACAGAAAAAAGCTGAACATAAAAATATACGCAACGATGCGAGTAGGCAACAGGAGAATGCACAAAATGTGTAATTGGCATATTCCTCACATGCTCCTTATCCTTGTGAAAAATGCCACACGACAACGGAGCATCTCAGCAGGATTCGTGTCCTCAGCATTCACACAGAAAGGATTGCGGAAACGAAAGTTAAGATGGGTAAACTTAAGTGAAGGAATGATTTAAAAAAGAAAAGCGAAGAAATAAGAAGAGAATTTATTTACATTTATTCATTTACGATAAATACTAATATACAAATATAAATTTTATTTGTTCACCTTTTATAGCATCGAATATTGTTGAAATATATAGAAAATACTTAAAGTTAGCAAAAATCTCTTTACAAACTACCAAAAATATATAAAGTTTTGTTGAGTCACTTGTATATAAATCATTTATAAAACACAATAAAATCACATAAATAAAATAAATAATAAAGTATATGGGATGAGAATTTTAAAATGGCTTTCAATGGTAGATTCTTTTTTAAGCTACATCAATTCAAAATAACCAGATAAATAATTATTAAATTATTATACATAACACCTGATAAGATGATATATAAAGTATATATATTTTCTCTGAGCAAAGTTTTCCATGCCACTTTCCTCTTATATTGTTTTTTTGTCAAATTAATGAAATTTGGTTGCCTGTCGACAGACGAAGCACTCGAAAGGAACAAGGACAGAGAAAAGGATTATCCAACGTGAAAGCAATCCCTGGCAGCAGCAGAAAATCGTCCCAAAAATTGACTGGCAGAAAGGCATCAGCATATAAATAACATTTTTCTCTGCACATGTGCTCGAAAGACACCCAACACGGCGGTTACACTTTTTATAAATATTTAAAAAGAAAAACTGGTTGGTGTGAGAAAAAGAATTTAATATTGCGAAAGACGGTTTCAAGCTCGCAAATGTAAGGCAACTATAAAATGATAATTTTATAATGCATTTTTTGAGTATGTTAGTTTTCTAAAGAAATATGAAAAACACATAAAATTATAATTTAAGGGCCTTCAAATAATTTGTAAAATATCTATAAAATATTATGGTTGCCAAAAGAACCATTTCTGTTTTGGAAAGGTTTTTCTGCATTTTGAGCATTTCGATTTGACATAAAGATATGTAACAGAGTTATTTTTAATTGTCAGCAGCAGCCAAGTCGATCTAGCCATCAGAATAAACACTGGGAAAATCTAGAAGCAAGAGCAAATTACTTTTATTATTACCAGGCCCAAAAAAATTAATATTATTAAGTTATATAAATATATTATGAGTGATTTTAGCCAGACCTTCAGATCATGAAGCAGACAATTTAAATAAAAAGCACAGCAGAGTCTCATGTTGTCTTTTTTTATCAGGATTTCCATTAATATAAAATGTAAAAAGCTTCCGTCTGCGAGCATGCGCCTGACAAAAAGGACTCAAATCGAGTAAAACTCAAAAAGGATGAGCTTTCCGGCCCTCTCTGGCTCGAAAGTAACGTTCTTTATGAATGGCCTCCTGTTGCTCGAGACATAACAGGTGGCAAGGCTCCGAGAGATAGCTTTAATGGAGCTGTTGATTGCTCAACGAGTGGAGCGAATGGAGAGACAAGTTCACCCCCAAAAGCATATCGATGGGGATGTGGCTTGAGTGCTGGCTTTCGGACACCTTGACACTGTGACACACTAAAAAATGTCGAGGCGAATTTAAATTACTGCAACAAAAACACTGGGAGCCCTGCGTCTGGCTCAGGGCTGTTGCCTTGAATTTTGTTTATGGCCTTTGCTGTGGATTAGCTCGGGCTTCTGTGAACATGTATAAGACACCAGGGACTTGGACTACTCTTAAGGAAATACTCAAAGAATATTATTCATTTCTTTATTTAAATATTTTATTCTGTATTTCAGTGATGATTTGGTTTAAATAATTAAGCAGTCATTGGAATTCGGTTTCCTATGAGCAAGTTCCTCAGGGAGATCATCATCATCATCATTTTCATAAATATTCCAACTAACAAGGATGCTATTTATAGAAAATCGAAGTCTATGAAAGCAGTTACTGAAGTAACCATAATGATTATAGTCAATATATCTTCCTACAATAACTGCAATTTACAATATAACATCGCTTAAGTATTATTTTTGAAGGAACGAACATACATACATATTCCAGCTTCCCCAGCAGTTAGTTACGTTTCACCTTTTGAAATTCACTTTAAAGCAGACTCGAATCGATAATTAAGATAGAAAGTTATCCTTATCCCGTGGGAACTGCAGTTATCCTCCGACAAACTTTGTCCGTTTTTCAAATTTAGAATTATAATTTAATAAGTGAGTGGTGCTGGCTCTGCAGGGGGCGAATCATCTCCGCTGGGTTGCTCACCAGCAGCTGCCTAATTAGCCGTGGGCTAATATTTTTCCAGTTGGCCAACGCACACTAATTGAACCTCTCAAATGATTGTACAAGTGGGGTTAGTAAGTCATGGTTTCCAGGAACTGTTTTTCCAAGTACAATTAAAACGATATCTGAAGGTTTCAATACATTTGTGGAGTTAAAGTTGAGCTTATTTGATGATATCAATGTAGTTTCTTAAAGGAACAATTTCATTCATTTCAGTCAGCTGATACGGTTTTAAATATTCTTAGTAATTCTGTCTCATATAGGGGAATCCCCTGAATAATAAGCTTCTTCCTGTTATATTGCACTGGTCAGGTGTTATTTTTAAGGTCAGCACCACATTCACTGTCATTGGGGAAGCGACGGACAGAATGAGGTCTCTGAGTAAAGAAAAGAACAGAGAAAGTATCAAAACAGACCGATTTAGATAGCGTAGCAACGGACAGACGTATGGGTAGATCGACTCGACTGATAGTGGTCAAGATTAAACATACTTTTTAAGGCCCCGCAAAAACATTAAAATATAATATAATTTAGTTTTTAATTATTATGAAATTAAATTCGTGTTTTAACGAAAATTTAATGGCGAGAAGACAATTATTTTTTGTTTTATCTTTAGGACATTTAAATTTTTTTGGTGTCTCTAAACTTATTTCTTTAATATAACATTTTAATTTAAAAAAATAAAGAAATTCTATTCGTTGAATTGCTGTTTAGGAGCCCCCAGTCGGTTTGGCATTGGAAGTAGGTGGTGGAGCTTGAGTTCCTTGCTTTTGGTTTGCCGGCTTCTTATAGTATTTTTGCTTATTGGGGTTTTGGGTATTTTGTTGATTCTGTGGATTTTGACGATTGTTTTGATTCGAGTTCTGACGATTCTGCTGATTGGGGCGTGCATTTTGAGTTGGATGCTGATTAGGCGGTTTCTGCTGCCGAGGAATTTGTTGATTCAGATTCTGTAGATTGGGTTTCTGTTCAGCCTTGTTTGGATTCTGGTTGTTAGTGTTAGGAAAGTTGTTGTTTTGCTTCGACTTTTGTACCCATTTCGGTCTGACTGAATTGGGTGGACCAGTTGGACCATATCCCTGTGCACACATTGGCTGAGGATGACCCAGCTGGTTTATAGGTGGACCTGTGGCATACATATTGAATCCCGAATATTGATTCCAATTTGGATTTGGCGGAAAGCATGGTCTATTAAAGTGCGCCTGGGGTCCATGGGGGCCAGGCATCCTATTCGGACTACAATTTGATGGTCTGTAATTGAAGTTATGTCGAGGCGCCGGATTCAAAGAGTTGATGTTAAGGGGCGGCGTATTCCGGAACGGATTGTTGGGATTAAGCTGATTCATCATGTTGACCGGAGGTCCGTACATTAAGTTTCCGTTACCTTTTCTTGCTGGAACTGCACCATGATGTTTTGAGTAGGAATTCCGGCTTTAGTCTCAGCCATTTTTGGCGGCTTAGCCGCTTCATCATCCAATTTGGCCACCGCTTGTTCATCATCACTTAGCTTTGCCTCATCCAACATACGAACTATTTTTCCCATTTTTTTCTTCTGCTCCCGCTCGCCTTCCTTGCGCATCCAGTGATGGTATAAATGTGCCTTCAGATCCAGCAGCAATTCAGTGGAAAATTCGCACTGATTGCACACGAGCGGCTTTTGGTTCACCAGCTCATTGTACTTCTCATCCGTGATGGGTTCAATGGAGCCCTGAAGACTCACCAACGTGTGGACCATTTGAAAGGGTATGAAGAGCTCTGTGTTGAAACTATTCCAGTGACGTATCCTTTTCATGCCCATCGAGTAGAAATCATCCGAGATAACGTGCAAATTAAGGCTATTCCAGAAGGCGTGCACCTTGAACCCAATGCGAAAGTTTCGCGACTCTAGGTAATCCTGCTGCTCGATGATCTGGTTGGCTAGCTCCATCATGTGATCCAACAAGGGCAAGTGCTCCTCTGTCAACTAAATATCATGACGAAACATTAGTAGAGAAAAGAAACACCTGGCAATTACAAACCTGAGTTATATCTCTGATTTCCTCTTTAGCCACTACACGGAAGTGGTATTGCGATTTTGGAAAATCGGCCTTAATAACTACCGCTCGATCGGTTTCGATGAGAAAGTTCCTTTTATCCTTCAACTTACGCTTCAGCTCATCGCGAAAAAATGCTTTCTTGTCTTTCTCGTTTTTCTCCATTTTATTACCTGTTTAAATTATAGAGGAATCACCGAAATTGACCGAGAAAAGCTCAGAGTCATTTGTCATTCGAGAACCGGCTGGAACAGATTTTCAGCTGAAAGAACTGGAACTAGTACCTACTAGTGGTTCCCTTTGAATCTTGGAGGTGCTGCAGCAGATGTTCCTTAAGTGTTGGCAAGTTTTTCCCCACAAATTCGCACTGATTGCAAAGCAGAGGCTTATTCAGCAGCTCGTCTCTCAGTGACTTTTCCAGGCGTGAAAAGCTGTTTTCCTTCTCTAGCACAGCGTAGAGTTCTACAAGAAGTAATCATAAAAACAATTAAATAAGGAATACTGTGCATTTAGGGGTTAAATCATAAAGTTGTCTTATAACTGCGCTTTTAATATGAATAACTTAATCATCACTATTAATCTATCGAAAATTAATTTATCGATAAGATACAAAATTACAATTTAAGATTCTATCGAGTTATAGGAAGTTCTTTAAGGAGCGACATATCAAAAATTAAATATTTTTTCTATATTGCTAATGTATTTATTAATGTAATAACAAGACATGACATTCTTACTTTCGTAGGGCACAAAAAGCTCCGTGTTGAAAGAGTTCCAGTGCTTCTTTGTCTTCAGGGTTGGCGACACAAAATCCTTAGAGATGACGTGCAAGTGAAGCCTTTGCATGCTAGGCTCTGCATGGAACCCCACCTGGAAGTTCGTCCAGGGGACACCCTTCACCTCAACCACGTTCCTGGCCAGCAGATGCAGTTCCTCCAACAGGGGCAGATGACTTCGATTCAACTGTAAATCGTATTGGTTATTAATTGAATAAGATTTGTGGAATATTAATGCTATGTTCACCTGAAAGATGCTGGGAATATCGGCCAATGGCAGCACCAAGTAGTGATGCTGCGCCTTCGGAAACTTGTCCGCAATGACCACGCCGAGTTCCGATGAAATAATATAGTTTTTCGGATTTAGAATTTCCTTTATTAGACCGTTTGACCAAGACATAACAGATGTAATTTATTTTTAAATAGATCTTCATGCACTGATTGAATATTAAATCGATTTAATTTTGTCAAGTTAATTTCACGACGCAATGGCAACAAAATAAAAACAAACACAAAAACAGCTGTTGAACTTGTGCATACCAGTGTTGTATAACACAGAAAGACTGCAAGAGATGGCACAGTCCGACGGCAGTGTCCAACACGGACTATCAAATTTTCTTCTAACTACCCAAAGAAGAAGAAATATGATAACAATTTTGAGTCAGCTGGCTGAACTTCCGCATGTTATCAGACTGCAGTCTTTAAAGCATTTACTTGAATTTTTAACTGTCAGTTAAATAATCGTCGATGAGTGAGCGTCGAAATGGAACGGTGGGAAATGGGAACATAGAGGGCATCTTTAATTTCTAATTTATTTCGTAATTAAGGCACTAATTCAAAAAAAAAAAAAATTTTAAATGCTACAAAATGAATTTACGGTTGCTATTTAATGGGTTTGAAAGTATTTGAAACATGTAAAAAATCGTGTTTTCACGGATTCTCAATATCTCGGCTAATCAAACGCGTGCAAGCTTGCGCGGTATCTCAACCGATAGGGAAAAGTATTCTATTATTTCGAATTAAATCTCTATTAAACCTTACCCACAGATTTTTAGAAATTAACGTTTTCCTTTTCTGATCCCATTCACAATCACTGGCTCATATCGATAGGGGCGCCTCCCACACCCTATCGATGAATAGCCCGCCAGCAAATATTTCTATTGACCATTTAAACAATTGTATAAAATATGTATGCCCCATGAATAAAATTGACATTCCAAGCATTTTGGTAGATGTTTCATCAAAATCAGTTCAGCCGTTCAAGGGAAAACATCACTCTTTCATTTATTTTCATAAATGTTTCATCGAAAAAAAATCTGGCAGCACTGTCTGCCTAACATTAAGTCAATTTGATTTAAACTTTATTTAAAAAAAATTATGCAAAATGAAGATCGTACCATTAAAGGGATCGCAATTCTGAACATTTTGATATATGTTTTATCACAATCCGTTCAGTCGTTAGTGAGAAATCCCGACTTTTTAATTTATTGCCGTAAATGTATGTATTTTTGTGTGTATGTTCAACGAAGAATATTAAATAAAATAAAGTGATTTAAACTTAATGGTGGGACAAATGTATGGAAATGGAATAGTTCTGAACATTTTAATAGATTATACACTAGTAAGAGTATATAGAAGACTAAATGCAAAGTTTTATTTAGATAGCTTTAAATATGAGGGTCTAGTTTGCTTATAATTGAAGAGACAGACAAATGGAGATGGCTAGATAGACTCGGCTGTTGATGCTGATCAAGAATATATATACTTTATAGGGTCGAAAATAATTTATTCACAGCGTTGCAAATTTTTGACCTGAAATCATATTGCAAAGCAAGGGCATTGAAGCGCTAGATTTGAGATGCAAATTTTTGAAATAACATTTAATAGTCTGCCCAATAAATAATATCGTTATTCTAAGCAATTTGGTAGGTGTTTCATCGAAATCCGTTCAGTCATTTTGGAGAAATTAACATTTGTATTACTAATTTATATACTAAGGAGGCATGACTAGGCACCCCTGGTACCCAACTGCAATAAATGAAAAGTCAGGATTTCTATTTAACGACTGAATGGATTTTGATGAAACATATATCAAAATGTTCAGAGCTGCGATGCCGTCTATGGGACAATCTTCCTATTGCATAGGCTTAACCATAAAGTTTAAATAAAGTTTTATTGTTTTTATGCAGGCAGGGCTGCCGGATATATTTATATTTCACCGGTACATAAATGGGAATAAATGAAAAAGTCGGGATTTCTTATGAACGACTGGACGGATTTTGACGAATCGTGGATCAAAATATTCAGAATTGCAATCCCGTTAATGGTACGATCTTCAGTATACATAAGTTTTATAATAAAGTTTTAAATCAAATAGACTTAATTTAAGGCAGACAGTGCTGCCAGATATATTTATTCTTCGTATGAACATTTATGGAAATAAATGCTAAAGTGGGGTTTTCTCATGAACGGCTGAACGGATTTTGATAAAACAACTACCAAAATGCTTGGAATGTCAATTCCATTCATGTGGCATGCATATTTCATACAATTGTTTAAATTTCTAATAGGAATATTTTCTGACGGGCTATTCATCGATAGGGTTTGGGAAGCTCCCTTATCGATATGTAGCCAGTGTTTGTGAATTAGGTCGGAAAAGAGAAACACTTGAATTTCTCAAAATTGTACGGTTAGATCTAATTAATATTTAATTCGAAATTAGAGAATATTTTTCCCTATCTTTTGAGATACCGTACAAGTTTGCAAGCGCGCATTTAAGTACGTAAGATTTTTGTAAATGTTACCGTCGATTTTGCTCGTTGGGGAGGGGCAAAACATTCCGCCATGGTATATACTAAAATAATCTAAAAAGAACGAAATAGGACATTTTCCCTGATTTGGATGAAAATTCCACCAAATTGTTTTAAATGGCTTTTCCATTTATTGGGCAGTCACTTTTCTTAATGTTTTATTCAACAATTTGTTTTTTTTTTAATTTAGTATTTTTCTTAGCATGGTTCCATGGTCTGGTTCAGCGAGTGGTTCTCTGCTGGTTCCCATTTGGTTCCATTTTCAAAGTTCGCGGCTTAGCTATCAGTCCATATACACCACCCACTGTTATTCGATTTTCTCGAAATCTGACGGTTAAGAACAATTGAAATTTTCACTAAATATTCGTTAATCTTTCCCTAATATGCCTTTATACCGTGCATATGTGCACGCGTTCGTACATCGAAGTTATAAGCCGTACAATTTTGGATGCCCTGTTATGTATGGAGCCGACCCCGAGGTTAGATCACTTTTATGCAATTTGCTCAAAACTGACGGGTTGAAAAATTGAAATTCGGTGGGGTAACACTACAATAAATATCCTTTTTTAGGTATCGGGTATTGCTTCACTTGTTTGATAAGCCGAGATATTAAGAAATCCGTGAAAACACGATTTATCACATGCTTTTTTTTAATATATCCAAATGTTAAATACTTTCAAACCCGGTAAAAAGCAATAGTAAATTCGTTTTGTAGCATTTAAAAACTTTATTTTATTTGAATTAGTGCCCACCGTTCCGTTCGCTAACTCATCGACGCTAATTTCACGGACATTTTTTAACTTGCGTTTTAGTTCCTTTTGGCTTTTATTTTAGCCCACTGTAAGCTGGTTGGCTATGGTATTTTTTTGCCGCTCGTGGCGCGGTCACATTGTTGTTTACCTCGACGCATGCCGAACGAATTTCTTAATTACGTGATAATTCCACTTAAAAGCGGATATAAACCACCTCCAGCATGGATATTAAGCCCGTGCTGCAGTCCCTGCCACGGCCTCGCGCCAATGCAGAGCCGCTGCACATCCAACGATTGGAGGCGGCCCTCAACATGCGCCCATTCATGGACATGACCAAAAGAGCCCTGCGGAGACCTCTGAGTAGCAACGAAGACAGCGACGAGGAGAGGGAGATGAAAAAGGAACCGGAGGCAGAGGACTCCGATGACTTCTCCACAGTAGGCGTGGTTAAACCGAGGCGGTCCGGCAAAAGTAAACACCGTTTGCTGGGGAGCAAAGAAGGTGAGTGGCTGACGGAAGGGGGTTATGTGTGGATTTTGGATAACATTCAAGATATATTCAGAGCGACAAAGTGTAAAGGCGCAGCTATATAACTTCAACGACCTGACCAGTGATCGGGAGTGGCTATACGATCTCCTGCTAAGCGATACGGAAAGCGATGATCCCACCATCACGGAGGATGAGTATGTGCATCAGCTATTGAGGGAGCACATAAGGGAGCAACGTCAGCGTAAGAACTACTACAAAAAGGCCACAGTGAGTCCTACTAAATCATACTAAGTTAAGTAATAAAATTAAATCAAAACATCACTTTATCTCTGTAGAATGCCCAGTATGCTTACTATGGCAGTGGCCTTCTGTCCAATCACGATGTCTTCGCCGAGCGCCAGCAGGCCACCGCTGGAGTGCGTAAGCGACGACGCCGCACAAAGCAAGAGATTCTTATGGCCCGTTTGGCTGAAGCGCAGACGGGTCCAAAGACACCTAAACAACGAAGAAGAGGACGCAAGAAGCGTAATACCATTGGATCGCCAGAGTCTGGGGAGGTGCCTGCCTCTGAGCTGGGAAAATACACCTTTGCTGACACACTGCCCGCCAACGATGACGAAGACGAGGACGGTGGAGAGGTAGATTACAAACGAGAGCTGGCGAGTTTGGCCCTGGATTACCCGGAAGAGGAGGAAATCGAGGAGGAAGTGGACGTGGTCGGCGGCACCGAGGGTCAGGTTACCAAAGTTCGGCGAAAGAGAAAGAATCCTGCTGCCTTGGCCGCCCGTCGTCGTCGCATTTGGCAGATTATGTCCAAAAAGGAAACTGGCCGCCTTCAGCGCATTAAAAGTAACAATCACAAAGAGATGCTGGCCAATTGCAAACGGGTAGCTGGAATGTGTGCCAAAGTAGTGCGACAGCGAGCCCTGAACTCCCAGCGGATCATGAAGGAGACAGTGTGGCGGGCCAAGCGACTGACCAGAGAAATGCTGGCCTACTGGAAACGCTATGAGCGCGTAGAGCGGGACCAGCGACGAAAACAAGAGCGCGAAGCAGAAGAGCAGCGCAAGCAAGACGTGGAGCTGATAGAGGTGAAGCGCCAACAACGCAAGCTCAACTTCCTGATCACCCAAACCGAGTTGTACGCTCACTTCATGTCCAAGAAACTGGGCCAGGGCAGTGAGGAGGATCAGCTAAGGATTCTTAGCCAGCTGGATGAGGAAACCAATGCACGGCTGATGGTGCAAGATGACTACGATGCTGGGGAAATGAAGCTACTGGCCCAAGAGCACGCTGAGGCGGCCATGCAAAGGGATCTGGACAAAACCAGAGCATTCGACGTATTTGTGAAAAAAGAGGAAGAGGAGGAGGAAGAAGACGTAGAGGAACAGGAAGAGCTGGTAGAATCAAAGCCAGAACCCAGGCCGGAGATGAAGGATCTGCCGCAGCCAAAGATGTTCAAGGGAACCCTAAAAGGCTACCAAATCAAGGGAATGACCTGGTTAGCCAATATCTACGATCAGGGAATCAGCGGCATTCTAGCGGACGAAATGGGTTTGGGCAAGACAGTCCAATCGATAGCATTCCTTTGTCACATTGCCGAACACTACGGAGTGTGGGGACCCTTCCTAGTAATCTCACCCGCCTCCACGCTCCACAACTGGCAGCAGGAAATGTCCAGATTCGTGCCCGATTTCAATGTGGTCCCCTATTGGGGATCTCCCGGAGAGCGGAAGATCCTCCGACAGTTCTGGGACCAAAAACATCTGCACACCCGCGACGCCAGCTTCCACGTGGTGATCACCTCCTACCAGCTGGTTGTCAGCGACTACAAATACTTTAACCGAATCAAGTGGCAGTATATGGTCTTGGACGAGGCCCAGGCCATCAAAAGCGCCGCGTCGCAGCGATGGAAGCTGCTCCTTGGCTTCAGCTGTCGCAATCGTCTGCTCCTCAGTGGCACTCCCATACAGAACAGCATGGCAGAGTTGTGGGCACTGCTACATTTCATCATGCCCACCCTCTTTGATTCCCATGACGAGTTTAACGAATGGTTCTCCAAGGACATTGAATCGCACGCAGAAAACAAAACAGGCATTGATGAAAAGCAAATCTCCAGACTCCACATGATACTTAAGCCCTTCATGCTGCGGCGGATCAAAAAAGATGTGGAGAACGAGCTATCGGATAAGATCGAGATCATGGTCTACTGTCCCCTGACCATTCGCCAAAAGCTACTGTACCGGGCACTAAAACAAAAAATCAGAATCGAAGATCTCCTGCACTTGACCAGTGGCAGCTCCACGGCCACCTCGTCGTCCTCTTCGGCCTCGAATCTGATGAACCTGGTCATGCAGTTCCGTAAAGTGTGCAATCATCCGGAGCTATTTGAAAGGCGGGATGCCAGAAGTCCGTTTTTCATGCGTTGTGCGGAGTATACGATGCCCAGATTGATTTACGAGAACGGATTGCTTCATAGATCGTTGCCAAGTCGACGGCACTTGCTCTATAATAGGTACCACACTTTCAGACGTTTTAGTGAAACATTAACTGCTTTTCATATATAATTGATTCAATAATTTATATTTTCTTCGTCAGGTTTAATATTTTTAAGTCCGAGTATATGCAAAGATCACTGTTTGAGGATGTCAATGTGGACAGTTGCTTTGGATTTACGCGTTTGTGTGATTTATCTGTGGGCGATATGGTAGATGTAACCCTCAATGGGCTGATTAGTTTGTGAGTAATATAATGCGCTCTCTTAAACAAATGAAATTTAATTTAAATTTTTTTATAAATTCGCAGCCTCTTACACTTTCACCGGGTTCTAGAGAAATATCCACTTTTGGCATATCGTCGCTTTTGGTGGAAAAAACAAAGTGCCAGCAGATATCAACTCTTGGAGCCGATGCTAGAAAATAAACTCATACCGGACTATATGCTCACCGACTGTGTGCTCAGGAACTTTGTTTTCACAGCAATGGTAAGTGGATAACTTGAATAATGAATGGTAGAATCTAAACACTCAGTTATTCTTTCCAGACGACAAATGAGAGCAGCGTTTATGCCTTCGGCGACTACTTTACCTATAACATGCAGGAGACCATTGAACATCGTGTGATACGCTCCAAGATACTTAAGCAAAACTCCACACCGGGGATCGAGGATATGGCTGAGGAGGCCAAGCAGGAGCTGGAGATGGAGTCTGTGGAGGTGCAAACCAAAGTGAATGCTAAGAGCGATGTAAAGGTCACCACGCTTCTGCTATTGCCTGAGTTTCCCCATCGCCCCAGGAAGCCCAGAAGCTATCGATGCGAATCTCTGTCAATGCCACGCCTTCTTTATGACTTGGGCCAAAAGGTGCAGGCGGTGGACAGGCATTCATAGTAAGCGAAAAATTTATTATAATTATTATTTTTTCTTTTAATTGATTAATCTTTTATTGCAGCTGTGATAGCCGCGCTGCTGCATGGACACAGATTCGCCACGATCAGTGTGAGAATAGCATGGGCAGGGAGCTCGTCTCCAATGGCTTAGCCCTATGCAAGCCCCGTAGTGGATGGTCCTCGATTGTTGTGCCCGATAAGGAAACATTGATCACGGATGCCGGAAAACTCTTTGTGCTGGACACACTGTTGACCCGCCTGAAGGCGAATGGTCATCGTGTTCTCATCTACTCACAGATGACCAAGATGATCGATCTGCTAGAGGTGAGAGCTTAAGGGTTAAGTTAATCCTTATTGTTAACTAATTTTTGGGCAATTTTTACGCGTAGGAATACATGTGGCATCGCAAGCATCGTTATATGCGATTGGATGGCTCCAGTAAAATCTCAGCACGTCGCGATATGGTCGCCGATTTCCAAACCAGAGCCGATATATTTGTTTTCCTGCTATCCACGAGAGCCGGAGGTCTCGGTATTAACTTAACAGCCGCTGATACGGTGAGTCTATCTTATTTCTATCACTCTTATTTGACTTTATTTTAAGTAATGTGATTAGAGAGGAGAGAGAACGCAAAACCAATACCAGATATATTTGATAACAGCCTTATTTTGTATATTGTTACCTCTCGATATACTATCCTGGTCATCTTGGTAGCCTATATAAAAGTTTTCAATCTATTCAGCATCGAAGTTTCACACATATACTTTTAATGTATTAAATTAAGAAAACCTTCGGAGTGCTGAACAAAAAATTCCTAGTAAAAAATTTAAAAATTTTGGCAAAATGTCCTACAATCACGACTTAGAAACCGCGACCGAACTACCTCCTAAAAAACTCACTCAGCTAAAGGCTAGCACAAGTCCCGCGCTACCCAGGCCATCGATTATCCGCAATTATTCTGAGAAACTGGAAAACAATAAGCGCAATGGTTTGGATCTGGAATTATCAGACGATACGGAAGCAGTGATCGTGAAGAAAGTGCGCTGGGCTCCAATTATCGGGGCCAGGAGCTCGAGTAAGTGCTTCAACTACACAACTCCATCGAGCACAAAACAGATCCCATTCGACCAGGATACACCAGATGAGGTGCGGCTGGCCCATGAGCTGCGGCTGGCAGTGCATCGCGGTGGTGGTTCCATCGATCCCGAGAAGAATTTCGAGCTGCGAGCTCATCTTTCGCCCTTACAGCTGCCTTACAGCCAGGTTCAGCGTATCTTGAAGGAGTGCGAGTTGTACGAGCGTGATTATAACACCTATTTCCTTTACATGGACTACGGTCGTCAACTGGTGGCAATGGTTTGCAAGGTCAGGACTAATAACCTCAACGAGATGAAGCTCCGCTTGGCCAATTTCCTGAGGCAAAACAAATCTCGCTTTTTCAATCGTCATTTACTTTCGGAAACTGGCTTTATAAAGGCCAATTTCCCCAAGTCAATGTTGAGTCCCGACGACTTTCATCAAACATTGAGCACAGATGCAATGTGGTGCAAAGCTACTGGCAGCTGCATCACAGATTTTGAAAAGAATGAAGTTTTGTTCAAGTGCCAGCCCCATGACCTGCGAGAGGTGACGGCCAAACTGAGGCATTGTGGCTACAAGATTATCCACACCGAGCTGGGGTACTGCCCGAACAAGCCGATGGTCCATTTGAACGATCGTCAAATGAAGAGCTACCAGGAATTTCTCAACCGACTCAAGCAGGACCAAGATATCGTGAAGGTCTACGATAATGTGCGGGTTCAGTAATTTAAAAAGGATTATCGGAGGTTTTCTAAATTGGGCGCATTAAATCGTCGCGTTTGTAAGCAAATAATAATAATTGAGGACTACTTTTATAAAAATGCTTGCCATACTTTTAATATGATAATCAAATCAGCTAACGGTTCTTTAAAATATATTTAATATATAAGAATTGATTGTGAGTTGTTTTAAGAAACATTTCCCAAAACCTATTTGGGCTTGCTCTACGTCTGAGGGGAAAATCCCTTTCTCGAGTGTTTTTGTTTAAAGTTTTTCCTTTACGTCCTTTTAAAAACAGCTCTAGTTAAGACTTGTGAGACTGTATATTTTTGGATAGTATTCCGGGTGATATTTAGATAAGCTCACTCCTTGTTCATTGTCTAAGAACTTAATGACGGAATGACGGCGTTCTGGACATGGAAAAACCCCTGTGTGGCTCTTGTATCCATTTGCTCAACTACTTGTTCATGCATTGCGACAGTCAAGGCCCGATCTTGGACAGTGGGGATGGGATGCGGATGGGGATGTGCTGGTAGTGAGTGGCGGCGGCAGACCATGATTTACTCGTGTGATCTTTATCGCCGCGTAACAATGAGACCCACCAATTCGAGTCCAGCGACCACGTAGGAGAATTCTCAGCGAAAAGGATTCAATATCGAACAGAATCTTTGCATGTTTCTCCCCGCAGTGTTGCTTCTGCTTGTTCGATTTCAACGTTTATGTCCGACCTTCCCTGCCTTGGGTAGGTACCTTGGGCTCTCAGCTCTGAATTGTGGTGCTTCGTGTGAACATTTTCGATCGGATCCTAAATCATTTTGTCACCGGTTTTGATTTGTTATTTGTGCACCCTGGCCGAGAGTAATTTGGTTCCAGCACCAACTTCTCTGTCATTTTATAGCCAGGTTCTCAGGCTCAAAGTGGCTGTCTTTTCACTCTGTTTTCTTGGGTTTATATTCTGCGTTGACTAATTCGATGCTGGAATTCTTGATTCCCTACTTGATTTCTTGGGGAATCTGTTAAGAAAAGGTATTAATCGAAGAATATGTAATTTAAGTTTATAGGATTTAATCTTCAAGATATGCAAGAAGTAAACAAAGTAATGCACAATTAGGATATAATCATTTACCATTTTAAAAGATTGAAACAAAGTACACTCACTCACTTCCTCCCAAGTATACAGAATGCACATATTTTAAACATTAGCCAATTTCCGCAAGCTCTTAAATTATGTCAAAAATTTGTATTTCTTTTTCGATATAAATTTCTCGAAACACCAACGAAATGAGTCCTCTTTTCTCTTTATGTTTTCTTTGAGAACCTTTAAGCCAACAAACAAAAGAATTTCCCGTTCATGTCTTGGCCGCATACCGAAATAATTTGACCAAAACTCAACACTTTGGCATTTCTTCTGTCTTTCGGCAATAAATGTAAAAAAAAGAACTTGAACCGGGAAGAGAGAAAACTGTACCAATTACATTTGAAATGATACGAATTTAACGATTTAATTGTACTTAATGCCATGTATTTATAAGCAGATTTTCATATTGAAAAGTTTAACTGGAACTTGTTCATTGACTATGCTATGCTGGAGCCTCTTCAGGGCATTATAATACGTGACTCGTTTCGGGCCTCAAGATTTATGACATTTTCTAAAGCAATGCAAAGTATTTCAGTAGCAGGAAAGCAAAGCTGTCTATTGATCTTGATATCCCAAGCACGTTTCTGGATTTAGTGCAATTCATTGGGTGTAGATGGACGCTCTTCATCCTATACATCCCCCTTTACCATACTTTTTGGGGTTGGGGCCTAAAGTAGGTCCGTGATGGACTGTCTGAGTGGTCACACCTTTTGAAACATTTTTTGATGGATTTGTGGCGTACATAAATTATCCGTTTTTATGGCATCATATTTGCAAATAATTTTAGCTTGAAATTTTTTCTGAGCTGTTTCTTTGTCTCTTTTCTAAAACTTTGAAGACCATTTCTTGAAGTTCAAGTTTTGCTATCTCTAGGGTCTTGAAAACTCTCTATAATTCCACTTAAGCTCTTGTTACTCATGGCAATCGTTATTATAGACACCACTTGAGCTATTTGTTAATTATTGAAAGGACAAGTGGCCGCTTTAGAACTACGACATGAAGTGAAATAGGTGTATTATATTATAGAGTTATAGGTATAGAGGTCTAGAGCTATTAATATTGATTTAGAACCTTAATATAGAAGTATTATCAAATTGTTTTGTGAAATTCAAAGTAAAAATATACATATGATTAATAAATATTCTATTTATTGATTACAATTTTGGGCCGCCTTAAAGGCATTAATAAAAAACATATTTAGGCATAATTATATCTACTCATCAGCCAGCCACTCGGCCACCAGTTTGATTAGCTTCTTCTTAGAGGCCACCAGCTCGGCACTGTCGGAGGCACTGATCGATGTCTGGTCGGGGCAATGCGAGGCAAAGGGGATAATGGTGGCTCCCTGGGCAACTCCAGCGCCCACCTTGCTCCAGCCATCCAACTCACCCTGCACAAAGTAAATATTGGTGGCATTCACGTCCAGGCCACCAAACACATTGTTGGTATTCCTGATCTTGGCATGGATGCCAGCCGAGTCGTACTTGGAGCCAAAGACACCCTCACAGGTGTCCTCGTACAGAGTGGCAGGGAAAGTGGATCCGAAGGGCTGGTGGCTGCTGCCCGAGGATTGGAACCAACCGAACTCGCTGCAGGTCTGGAAGATCCAGGGCAGATCGCCTTAAAAAGGTGAAAAGATTGGTTAGCCTGGGAACATATTTAAGACGGACAAAAACTTACTGTCTTCGTAGTTCTCCTTGGACCATTCGTAGTATCCCACAGCTCCCTGGTAGGTGGCACTGATGCATTCGCCAGAATGCTCATGGATTCTCCAGTTAATAAACTTGGACAGGGCCACGGAATCGTCGTCGCTGAAGGATCGCAGCACCGAACAGTACTGGGGAATGTCATAGTTCTCAGGCCTAAAGAATATTAATTAATTACCGTCAGAATAATCTGTTTTTACATTACAACCCACTTTTGGTACTGCGCAATGCCAGCAAAGATATTGGCAATGGTGCTGAAGATTTGCCAGCGGTCCTGCTCGCTATCAACATCGAAATTATCGCACAAATTCAGCTCCTCCTTGGCCTGCTTGCCCTTTCCATTGTCAAAGAGATCCTCATAGTAGGCAGTGGCATTGTCAATCAAATCGTAGCAATATTGTCCGCCAAGAGTTGCATACGCCTTGCCCACAACCTTCATGTAGTCCTTAAAGTCCACCTTGGCCAGAATCGGAGCCGATGAGGCCCAGCTGCCCTTAATGGTGTCAGGATAGAGCTTTCGAATCCAGGCGGCCATCGTGGCCGAGTAGGAGCAGCCGGAGACCACAACCTTGGAGTTCTTGTACTTGTCCTCCTCCTTTAGGGTCTCAATGACTTTGATAACATCGGCCAAGGCCTGTTCGACGCTTTGGTACTTTTGCAGATTCTCAGTAGAGAGGGGGCTGAAATGAAAGTATTTTTATTAATCTATTAATTTTAAAATCGCAAATTTACTTACGTTATTGGGATACTATCTCCGAAGAACCTATGTTCGGTGTAAACGAGAGAACCGTTGTGCTTCTTGGCAATGTCCTTCCAGAGACCAGATGTGATGGAATCGGGATAAATCTTCCATTCACCACCCAGGTAAATGAAGATGGGCGAACCATCGACAAAGTAGTGCTCGTTAATGAAGATGCGCTAAAGGATACGAAGCAGACAGAATTTTGTGATTAGTCCTCCTTACAGTACATTCCTCAACAGTCCTTACATCCTTCCAAGTGGCATTGTTCTGATCATCGAAATTGTCCAGCCACTGGTCGATCCAACGTTCCTCCACCTTGACTCTCAACTTTGAGGGCTCCACTGGAGGACCCCGATGCATGTCCCTTAGGGACTGGACGAAGGCGTTAGGCTTCGGCTTCTCCTCGCCCAGACTGGCTGCTGCAGTCAGGGGTGCTACTACGGCTAGAATAACTAGGAAATACTTCATATTGCTTGATAGTTCACCTGTTTGCGAATGATTTCCCACGGCGGTGGGCGGACTATTTATTCAAAATATTCGCTACCAACAACCGCTTCAACCCTTGAGATAGGGTCTTCGATGACTTAATTGAAAGACAAACAAATATGGGAAAATATATTGCCCTGATAAAGTCGAGAGCTCTGCGTTCGTTTCAATTCAAAGCCATCGCAAAGACAAAGAACTTGCACAAGTCTTGTATATTTTCTAAATCAATAATTACATGTAAGTTATTTGAAAGTCAAAGGGAAGAGAAAGATTTGGTTAAGTAACGAACCTTAAGAATGCAAATATTGGTGATAAAATGTTCCATTTACTAAAAAACAAGAGATATGTATTTTACTTCGAAAATATACTCAATTAAATAACTTTCAGGATTTGCTAATTTTAGTTTTTATTCCCAATAACTTATAAACTTTCACGGAGCTTCTACTGTGATCGTTTCAAATTCAAAAATATTAATTACATTTATTTTTGCAACAAAACTCGTGTTCTATATTCGTTTTATTGGATCTTTACCCAGTAGGATAGTGCTCATTACACGTGCGCTATAATCATTTCGCAATTGTTCAATCAAACCTGACCATTTTATTGACCATTGTTTGTCTATTGATAAATATTGATTTAACTTGTTTCTTTGAGAATACACTGAGGTATTATCATGATGAGAGACATCAGTAAACGTAACTGTATTATCAAATACGAGGAACTTATAATATAATTATTAGAATCATGTAACTATAGTGAGACAATTGGTATAATAATAATTTATATGTATTTTAATTATATAAATTAAACTTTAAAATCCCTAAATGTATGGAGCAAATTCATATCTATGCTATTTAATTTCATTTCATTTTGACACCAGAATACGTTTTGGGTCAAATTTTAATACTACATTATATAATCATTGTCCTGATTCACTAACTATTAAAATAACTTTCTTTTTTCCTTAACTGAATTTATGTACACTGACAGATCGTTTATAAATTATAATAAACTAATATTTTAAAAGTTATTTTTTATCAAGAAGAAATGCTTTAATATTTTGTATACTCTTGGTGTTTGTTATTCAACCAAGAAAATCAAAAATTCATTATTATTATTTTTTTATCTTTTCCATCCCAGTTTTCAATTAAAAAAAATATAATTTGTTATAATCTTTTCAAAATTTTAATGACTCCTTGAATATCGTACACATGTACATAGCTAGCTCGCCTCGGCTATTGATGCGGATCATGAATATATTAACATTCCTAGACTGTGAATTGAATGAATAATATCTACTGAATAATAATTATAATAACCTGTATTGGTATAAAAATATAGTTTTATTAAATTTTTAAATCATCATTACTTTCTTATAATATAAGGCTTATAATTTTTCAAGTAACACTTATACGTATCTAAGTTAACTTTCGTTGCCTACTCTCAGGCGTCTACCTCTAAAAGGAAAAGCTTCGTTTTTCCAAGTGCTAAAGTTACAAATAGCTATGAAAAATTTTCAAATAATTTTCCTATACATTATTAAATGGTACTAAAGCAAAGAAAGTAAAAATTTAGCCCTACAATCCTTTGTGTTTGTTTTCCAACCAGTTTTTTCTTAAGCTTTCTTGATGCTTAACATTTTCATTTATTTTAAAAGTCAGTCAGCAGCTTTATTAAATAGCTTGAAGATAAATAGAAAAATTACCTGCAAATGTAGGAAATGCTTACATTTCATAATCTATTATTACGATTATTATATTCATGATTGTTATGCTTATTTTATATTAAAAGAAAACAGTAACGGGATGAATTTGTATAATTCCTTTATTACATAAAATAATATCAAAAATCTCTGCTGATATTTGGCAAACACTTAGGCCAACCATTGACGCACCAACTCGGCAAGTTTTTCCTTCGAGGCTCGCATTTCTGCGGAGTCAGTGGACTTGATAGATCCAAAGTCGGAGCAATGCGAGGCATTAGCAATGAGGGTGGCTCCCTCGGCGACGCCATGACCCATCGGATTCCAGGGATCCAGAGCTCCATGGGTCATGTAGATATTTTCCACTCCCGGCTCCATGCCACCAAAGTCCTCATTGGTCTGTGCCGCATTGCTGTTGATCTGGGCATTTCCATACTGCGAACTGAAGACATCTCCGCAGAGGGTCGTGTACAGGGTGGCGGGGAACTTGGTGCCGAAGGGTTGATTCCTGGATCCAGAGCTCTGGTACCAGCCGTACTCATTGCAAGTCTGATAGTACCAGGGACGACCTTCGGTGGAGAACAAGAACTTAGGGGGTGACCTTTGGAATAGGGACAAACAACATACCAGCATCGAAATGATCCACTCCCCACAGGTAGTACTCCACGGTGCTCGAGTAGGTGGCATCGATGCAGGTGGGCATGCCCCAGCCCCAGTACACAAAGTTGGCAATGGCCGTGGCATCGTCGCGGAAACTCAACAGATAGTCGCAGTAATATTCAATGTCTCCAGTGCTACGAAAGTAATTAATTTACAAATTAATTAATTAATTTATATATTCCAAATATATATCCATACCTCTGGTACTGAGCCACACCGGAAAACACATTCGAAATACTGCCAAACAAGGACCACAAGTCCAGATCGTTCTTGTCATCAAAACTGTTGCACAGACGCAACATGGCCCTGGCCTCCGCTCCACGTTTATTGGCGAACATGGACTCCAGCTCGGCGATGCCATTCTGGATGCGATCGTAGCACTTCTGGCCGCCCAGCTCGAGGAAAGCCCTGCCCACCACTTCCTTGTATTCGGTGAAGTCAACCTTGGCCAGAAGCGGGGCACTGGAGGCCCAGCCACCAACAATCAGTTCAGGATACAGGCGCTTAAACCACACCACCATGGTGGCCGAGTAAGAACCTCCGGCCAGAAGCACCTTCGAGTTGGCCAGCTGAGGATTCTCCGACTTCAAAAGCTCAATGACTTTGACCACATCGGCCAGAGCCTGCTTCACATGGAGATACTTGAGATTAGCCGTTGACATGGTACTATGAGTAAAGCAAACTAAATTATATTTCCATAACAGAGAATGTATTGAAGGAAGGATAACTCACGAGGTTGGAACACTTTCTCCATAGTAACGATGTTCGGTATAGACAAGGACACCCTTGTGCTCCTCGGCCATGTCATACCAATGGCCAGCGCTGACCATGCTCGGCTCGATCTCCCATTCGCCACCCAAATAAATGAAAATGGGACTTCCCTCAGTTTGGAATTCATCGTTGATTAAATAACGCTGCAAATATTATGTATTTCTTATATAACTTCACTGAAAGTATATTTGAATTAACCTACCATCTGATAGGTCTCAGTGTTGGCATCGTCAAAGTTATCCAGCTTTTGAGTGATCCATTTTTCCTGAACATTTGCACGCTTGGTAACCACTTGCCGTGGCGGACCGCGATTTAAGTTCTTGAGAGTCCTGACCAAAACGGGCACATCCTTCACTTTGGAGGTCTCCAAAGCTTGGCCTAAGGCCAGGACCAAAACCACAGCCAGGCAAACCAAACGAATCGCAGCCATTTTCACAAATGAACCCACTAACTGGACTGACTAAGCCTTATAAGTTGACCATCGACGCTGTCGCGTTAGAGAGTAATTTGCGGCTACGATAAGGATTGTAAATTTTACACTTGTGATAAGTGACCAGGCGACTTGATATGATAGCCTCCAAACTTGAGATTAGAATTCCTACTTGCAGTCCATCGTAAATCGATCGGAATTCATGTGAATCTTTAGTTTAACTAGTGGGAAAATCCCTATTTATTGCTCCACGACAATCAAAATCACAGATGGGTCATGATTACTTAATCAGCCGGCATTTGGTCATGAAATGTATTTGATTTATCAGTTTTTATAGATTAATTTTATTTTATTTTAGAAGCGTGCAAGGTTTATAGATATATATTCTGTTTGTCTTGATAAAAATAATACTTTGATTTAATTCTGTCTTCATTAAATATTTATTTCTAAGAAAAAAAGGTGTGTGCCAATTCTTGACATATCGAAACAAACAATCACTAATCGGTTGAATTGTAACACATATTGATTAGATTTTCGTTTAAATCTTATCGTCGATTATCTCGCTTTAGTCAATGTATATAAGCAGTATGTAGGAAGTGTACATATTAACAGAATTTCCCATTAACAAATCGATTATCTCAGGTTATTTAACCCATTCGCGAACCAATTCGGCAATGCGTTCCTTTGAGGCCTTCATCTCAGCCGTGTCACTGGAGCTGATCGAATTGAAGTCCTTGCAGTGAGCATACTCTATAGGATAACCATATATTTTATAAATATATTTTCATCAATTGAAATTAAACCATCGAAAACCCACCTGGAATGACGGTTGCCTGATCTGCATCCTGAATTCCCATGGCCCTCCAGGGATCCAATTGTCCATGGGTTAGGTAAACATTTTCCACACCCGGAGACAATCCACCAAAGTACGCATTGGTGGTGCTGATCTGGTTGGTGGTAAACGCGTTGCTATACTGAGAGCCATAAATATCAGCACACATGGTGGTGTACAAGGTGACAGGGAACTTGGTGCCAAAAGGCTGGGCGCTGGAACCAGATGTCTGGTACCAACCGAACTCATTGCAAGTCTGGAAAATCCACTGGCGCACTGTTCATATTTTAAATAAGAAATATTAATTAATATATTTGTTAATGTGTTAAATGATATTTATAAAGTTAACTTACTGATATTGCCCGTGTAGGCGGTGTTAAGAAGCACTCCAATGATAGCATCATAGCTCAGGTCGTAGCACTTTGCACCGCTCTCATCGAAAACATCTAACAAATAGCCGGCAACGCCTGTGAGATCATTCGATCCTGACATAATCTTCTGGCAAACACCTTCGATTTGACCAGCACTAAGGAATAAGTGGAATGTTTATTATTTAATATAATGTTGAAATAGCTTTTCACTCACTTATGAGTCTGCACCACTCCCGCAAAGATGTCGGAAATCTCGCTGAACAAGGTCCAGATATCAAGATCGCTATAGACATCAAAGGGTTCGCAGAGCTTGAGCAGGGACTTAACCTCAGCGCCTCGTTTGGTTGCAAACATGGTTTCCATCTCGGCAATGCCATTCTCAATACGTTTATAACAATCAGAACCACCCATCTGTTCGATGGATTGTCCAGTGACTTCCTTGTACTCTGCAAAAATAATTATTTAATAAGATTTTGCAAGGTTCTTTGAAGACTAAACTCACCAACAAAGTTGAGCTTGGCCAAGAGTGGCGCACTGGAGGCCCAACCGCCGGCCACCTTGTCGGGGTAGACCTTCTTGAACCAGGTTACCATGGTAGCAGAGTAGGAGCCACCCACAATTATGACCTTGGAGTCGGCAAGACCTTCATGGGTCGATTTGATGGTATCGATAAAGTAAGCAAGATCAGCCAAGGACTGATTAACAGTAAGATACTTGATGTTCTCATTGGAAAGATCACTATAAAGAGTGAAATATTATATCTTTAGAAATATATCCTTTATCCAAACGAACTACTTACGGAAGGGGTTTGCTCTGTCCGTAATAGCGATGTTCTGTGTAGGCCAAAAGACCATTGTGCTCCTTAGCCATGTCATAAATGTGGCCACCGGTTATTCTTCCCGAAGAGATCTCCCATTCTCCGCCCAGATAAATAAATAGAGGTCCACCAGATTTATAAAGAGCATCATTGAGCATATAACGCTAAAGGGAAAAAAAAGGTTTACCAAATGAAATACCTTATAAATGTTTATGCAACAAAGTATTAACTACCATTTGCCAAGTGCGTGTCTCTGAGGCATCAAAGTGATCCAGTTTCTGCTCAATCCACAGGGTCTGCACTATATCAGCTCGGTTCTGAGTGGCAGGCTGTTCGGGCTCTTCGTGAAGACGCTTGAAGGTCCTCTCAAAGATACTTCCATTGCTTTGAGCTAAAGCCAAAAGAGCCAAAGTAATTCCCAGCCAGAACTTCATTGTTGATCGTTGGGTGTTGGAATGGGACTGATCAAGCTGCTTATGTGCCAACTAAATTACTTGCTTTAGCTGAAAGCCAAATCTTATCGGCAAAGTAGCACTTAATTAGCGTTTTTTTTCTTCTAAGCCAGTAAATAATATTGTCAACTGGGTTAAATAGATTGTTATGCCGTTTTATTGGACCGCAAAAAGCCATGCGGCGCCTTATCGAGCAGTATTGTGAATGTGGTGGCAGGCAGCGGCTTTTTCGATTACCAATCTTTCGGTTTCACTCACTTTAAGGGTATTTAAAATGTAGGTAATAGAGTTACCCGATAAGGTTTGTACAAGGTATTTAATGTACTCTTTCTAAGTGTGATTTACTTTTAAAGAGAGATTTGCAATGCTCGAGAAATTAAAACCAACATAAAGTTATTCCTATTTTCCTATGGATTTACTCATTTGATTTTTGAATATTTCCAACTTCTATATATATGTTAATAGTTAATAATCGTATTATTGAGACACATGTAAAAATCTATCTCCAAATCTTAAAACTTCCTTAAACATTAGACGTTCTCAGGGGTTCTTAGATTTTCCTTTATAGCAGACTTCCCGTGCGATATATATTCATTTCAATTCCGATTTGAAAGACATTTTCCTTCAGGGGTTACCCATTCTGTTCGCTTCTGAATAGATCTCAACACGTGTTCCAAATAAAAAGGAAAACATCAATCCCTTAAGCAGTTCGATTTTAATTAGGCCCATCTCTCTCAGCCGGAAATGCCACTCTACTGACAAACCCCTTGAGAGATGGCGAAGAGGAATCGCTGAACACTTGCACATCAAACACGTACCAAGTGCAGCTCGACAAGGGCAACGAAGGGTTAATGTTAACCGAGAGACATTTCTCTTACTCCAGATAATAGTTGGGTAGGGACAGGAAAAGCGGAAAATGCGTGACACTACAAAGTGGATTATAGGTTGCCCGAATTCGGGGAACGAACTATTAATTTATGCAGGTTCGAAATCATCAAAAGAGTCGCGAAAGGATGTGCGTGTGCAGTTACCATTTGCATACCAATTGGGAAAATTCAGCTAGAAAAAATGGTATATCTACCTTCTATTTGTTGTATAATTATGGTTTTCTAATGGTTGTAATTATTTGGCTTTTAGTAACAATTATTGATACAGTTCGCATTAAAAAGAAGTAAATAAAAGATGATAACAAAATAGATATTACAAACTTAAGACTAAAATTATATTATCGTATATAATTATAAATTATTAGTATGTTATTATTATAATATGATATTTTCCCATTGATATCTCTATAAGAATCCATACTTCATTATTTGTACAAATATTTAATCATTTTGCCAATTTATAGGTAATCTTCTACGATTCCGATTGGAATCCCACAGTGGATCAACAGGCCATGGATCGAGCTCATCGTTTGGGCCAAACCAAACAGGTGACCGTCTACCGACTCATCTGCAAGGGAACCATCGAGGAGAGGATTCTGCAGAGGGCTCGAGAAAAAAGCGAGGTGAGTGATCAGGGACAGGAAACCGGGGAACGAAAACCAAAGAAAACCCAAACCAAACCGCAAACTCTTCAGGTTGCACCATTTTTCCATTGTTCAGTCGCATATTAGGCACGTGCTTTGTTGATAACAAAAAAGCGATCCTAAAATCCCCATCCCTAGGCACTGTTGCGCCTTTGGATTTCTATAAAAACAAATCCTCAATGCGAAACACGAGCACTTGTGGATGGGATCGGAATGGGTTGGAGTTGGTAGAGTAAACCAACACCGGAAATTAATTATACAATTGGTTAGGCGACATTTCTGTTACGCCTCCTGGGTTCTTTATAAGTACTAGTACTTCTTCGCTCTCTTGTGCATTTATTGCATTTAATTACCGAAACAGAAATCCCTCGATTACCATATAAAAGTATTTCGGGCCGACAAATAAGTAGCTGCCGACGAACTCCGGAACTCTAAGGCGCTAACCCTGTACGAGTTTTATTTCATTTCCTGCCTGGAATTTCTAATATCTTTCTTTCCATTGAATATTGGTATTTGTTCACCCCTTCGATTTTATTTTCCAGATACAACGCATGGTCATAAGTGGCGGCAATTTCAAACCCGACACACTCAAGCCGAAGGAAGTGGTCTCATTGCTATTGGACGACGAGGAGATCGAAATGAAATGTGAGTTGATTAGAGATTTTTATGGAAGAGAAATATGTTTAATTCCCAATTTATATTTATTAATTCCTTTGATGGCAGATCGCCAGGAGGCCAAACTACAGTCGTCCTCACCGATTCCAGCAGAAACGCAAGGCGAACGCAAAAGACGTCATCCGAATAAGGTAAGAGCGATTCGACCCGAAGTAAATCTTGTTAGAACCGAGCGTTCTTCGGGCCATTTCATGCATGATCCAAGCCAACCGTCTAATGGCTGTTTATTAGACCAAGTTTGCACTTGCTACACGACAAGTTTCGTCTGCTGGCTGCCCCCTAATGAAAGTAAATAATCTCTTTGAGCGAGGCTCAAATTGCGGATGCATCCATATACAGAGCACAAAAGCGAGAAGCTGGTCCGGGCCATCTTGTTCTTGGCCTATGGCATTGCAGAGGTGGTCATGGTCACGTGATTCATGCAACATCACCAGACAGACATACACACTTGGACACACAGACGCACAGCAACAAAGACAATTCAATTTGCTATAAAACTCAACTCATCGTCTTCTTGGCTGGTCTTGGTCTGCTACATAGCGTGCCTTGAACCTACTCCATAAGCCACTAGTACTGCCAGCCGACTATATTCATTCATTCAACTATCGTACAGATAGCAAAAATGGCATTAATTGCTTAATTATATATTAATTTGTATTAAGCAAATTCTGTTCTTAAAGTTATCTAAATGATATAGTTTGAAATCTTTATTTAAAACTTTAAAACCGTGATCTTTTCTTTACTCTCTCATTAATAGTTATCTTATGATTGATTGAAATTAATGTTTTTTGAACTCAAGACGAGAAATTTCTTTCTGTGCATTTGTGATCCCTACTCTCCAAAAACAAACACTTTGCTCTTACCCTACTTGGACTGGCATTCGTTGTCTCTCGGAGACTCTTTTAAAAAACAGTTTGAAGTGCTTTTTGGTTCGCTTTGGTTTCGGATAGGATTGGTTTGGCCCGGCTTGGATCTCGTCGGGGTGGCAGGCTTCTTTAGTTTACTCCACACCACAGCACCACTGCATACTACATACTACTATCCACCTCCAAACTAGGGCCCTCGCTCTTCTTTGTGCTTTGTTTTTGTTGGTTTCGCTAAATGATTTTGTGCGTTCAATGGAACACTGATTATGGTGTGTGGTGCTGCTGCTGCTGCTCCGTCTGCCTTTGGGCCTGTGTCTTCGCCTTGGTGGCTTCTTCCGTTTTTGGTTCTGCGGGTACATCTTCTCTTTTTTTTTTTGTTTTGTAGCAAATCGGGTACTCGAACTCCACTCAAGTTCATATGCCACCGGCCGACACAATGCTATATAATGGCACGCAGTCATATCCCTCACCCTGGCCTCTCCTCCGACAAAGTATCACTTCATTTCATTTACGGTCGGAAGTTCGAGTTTCCAATGCTCGAATGGCAAGTAGCACGTTTTACATTTTACGTTTTCAGGTTAAGTGCAGCCAGTGTCTTCCTTTTGGCCTTTTTGATTGGAGAAAAGAGAGAGAGAGAAACGCATTCATTTGGAACAGATTCTGTTGCCAAAGATGTGTGTCGCAGTTGTTTATTATGGAACGGTTTATTTCTCTTTCTCTAATAGATAATGGTATATAATTTTAGTTAGTACTTTATGCCCTGTTGCATTTTATTGGTGGAGAAATTTAACTAAGATCTTTTCCCCTAATTTAGATTTAATTATCATGGATTATTAATAACTAGTATTGACAATAATTTCTGTTTAATTGATACAAGTTATTTGGTATTAGGTTTTTTTATTACAAGACTAGTCAGTTGTATCTGTATCTGACTGATAAAATATTTCAGAATCCTTTTAAGTACCAAATTGTGCTTTAAAGTGTTAAAACACCGGTTATTTCTTCTTCCTCAGCTTTCTAGAAAGAAAAACCAAATTTATTTAGCAAAAGATTTATCAGTTCATTAATTTTAAACAGAAAAAAAAAGATAATTTAGAAGAAAACGAAGCAAAAAGCTATGTTCAAAAATCTTTTCCTTTAAATTAGAGTTGAGCTAGAAATAATGTTAAATTTCCCATTTACTTATAGCTATAAAACTAAATCAGTTCTGAATATAATAAGCTTTTAAGTTGCTATATATAATGCACACTATTTTATAAAAAGCAGAACTCTTCTTCTTTTTATTTTAAATTAAACTATCACAACTCATTTACCATTTTGCTTTAAACTTTAACAATGTAATATCATTAATCTCGGAACGATTTAGCAGCGGGGTAAATGTAGGAAAATTGCTACTGTTTTCCCTAGCAATTGACTATCAAAATCTGGGCAAAATGTATGCAAAACTCTTTACCCTACTTCCGAGCAATTTCCTCAAGCATGGCAATTACCAGAAGACCCAAGTCCAACCCCTGAATACGTCCCATTCTTAGCACCAACCTCTTCCTTGACCAGCCCATAACTCAAGTCTGAGTTTTGTTTAAGTTTGGCATGAATGATTTTAGTGCCACATACCAGAAGGAGGGGATGGAGTATAAAGATAGCTTGGCATAAATTATAAACGGTGTAAGGGGGAACCCCCAAGCAGATACAAGCAGATAAACAATCGCTGTATAAGAATATATATGTATATATCTCACTTCCGCTGGCCATTAAAATGCTAATTGATTTGATTGTTACATTTTGAAAATTAAGAGGTATAACTTTTTATGATATTTGCTTTTATTGTCTTAGGATGTAAATGTGGGTGGCACAACCACTCCGGCTTCAACTACGGTTCTACGAGATTTCGACGACGATGTGGCCAGCTGCAGTTCGGCAGCCAAGCGCCTAAAGCCAGATCCGGATGAGGATCTCATCGATGTGGGCATACAATCGTCTGCCTCCAGTGTGGGCACGGATAGCAACCATCCGACCCTTAGCCAGGAGACCTATGTGCCCGGAGCCACCAGTGTCCAGCATATGGATAATGATTCCGATAATGAAGCTCTCGTGGTGGATGGCGACAGTCCCACTCTGATGGGTCAAAACGAGTCAATGAGTGAGTACTTATATTTTATCCTTAAAAGAAAATATATCCATCTTATGTATAATTTATTTGGTTGCTAAACCGTGACTTCCTCTGAAGTCAGCATTTCGGCTTACCCAGAAAAATGTGGGTACCAATGACACATAACTCAAACTCGAAACATTTATATGTATTTTATATATATTTCTTACCCCCCAACAAACCGATCACTTTTATAATGATTAATAACTCAAATTATATTTGGTAATCACCAGCAATATGGAGGCAGCCGAAAATGTGGTCTACCAACTTGCTACAAGCATGGCTCAAACCGAAAGCATGTTGGTTGTTATGAGTTGCCAATTGCATGTGGGATGTGCAACGATTGCAGCTTGTTAGCTCATGCGATTTGCATTCGCGGAGGGGATTTGTCGGGGTGACTGCAAAAAGCAGAAACATTTCAAATTTGTTTAACAATTAACCAATCGAAAGACCAAGACGTTTAAAAGTAGGCAACGGGCAAAAAACTGCCGTAACAGCAAACAGAAAACTAAATAAAAAACTGATGTGAAATCGAGACAAGTGCAGCTTCAGCAGATTGCAAGTTGCACGTTGCACGTTGCAAGTTGCAACGACAGTTTTGCTTGAGGAGGGGACCTGGTCCGATGGCATCTTGTGACTTGACCAGTTTGTTGCCTGTTTGTTTGGCCAAATTGTGGCACACTCACTGATTGGCCCGCAATTCGCTGGCGAACGCAGCTAATTTTGCCTATGTCCCCGTTTCCTCTCGTTACTGCAAATGCTCGTCTGTCGTTTGATAACATTTTCATTACAACCTGATGTGCGGGTTGTGAGTCCTACCAATCCTACTCCGCCCCTGGCACCCTCCTTGGGGGAGACAGTGATGGCACAAAACTGGAAAGATTTAACTAAATTTCATTGTATAAGAAATAAATTTCAGGAGTTAAACTATTGAAAGGGAGAGGATATCAAACACATTTAATTAAACTAGTTTTCTGTGAAGGAGTATAAATTTTTTTAAGGAAACTAAATTGTCATTACTGTTGAACTATTTTTCTGCAGCCTCGGAAATGCACGCAACCCAATTTAATGTGAACGCAGTTGATTATGTTTGGTTCGCTTGTCACTCGTCGTTCGATTTTTTGTTGACTTTGGTTTGTTTTTTTTAGCTTAGCATAAAAATGCCACGAAAAAGCTAAGAAAAGCCGTAGAAAGAGTCAAAGAAAAAAGCAACCGAATTGCCGGCTCATAAATAATTTTTTATGTGCACAGGGCTTGGCCGAAAGACATAGCTAATTTAATCAATGAGCTCACGTGTTGTGGCTACATAAATTGCCAATCCAAGCAGGTTGCTCTTGTTTTGTTTTGATTTCGTAATGTTAACCGACATTTATTGCCTGTTTATTTTTCCGCCGGACAAAATGAGGAATTGTCATGAATCCCAGAGTAAGTCTCTCTAAAAACAAAGGCTTTGATAAGACATATTTAAAGAAATAGTCTTATTAATCGATGTTACTACAAGATTTTATGAAAAAATCGTTATATTGATGGTAATAGCTATCAATATATAAAATGATAAACAAAATGTTTAATAGTATATATAGAATTATTATTCTTCCCAAAAAGATTTCAGATACAAGTTCTGTAATAAGGTCTAATATCTCATAGAAATATATATATTTTATGTATATATTAAATTCAAATTTTATATTAATATTTAGTCCTGAAAACCACTTATAAAAGTGGTACGAAAATCCACCCTATGATCTTCCAATCTTCTAATGATCTTACCTAAAATTTCACCACACTGATAAGTCCTTAAACAATTCAGTAATGTAATAAAATATCTGTGCTCTGACATTATAGTCGAGTCTGGATTTAGGAAGATAACTTCAGATAAGGCCTCGAATTAACCAATAAAAACCATCCTTTAAAAACAATGACATTCAGGCTTCTTGAAATACCTAAGTTTTTTCTAAACAAGGTTCTATCTTACACAGCAGCACATTTCTTTCTTTTATTGTGAGGAAATTTTCCCCATTTTTTTCATAGCTTACCATCATTCAAATTTCCCAGTGCGTGCTGCACTCTTCCGCCTTTCGCATTCCCCTCCACTCCCGTTTTAATTGTCTTGTGCAACAGCAAGTGAAACAATTTCTTAATTGGCCTCCACTCAACTGGGACACGTGCCACACATTTGTGCAACTTTCACATGAGCCCAAAAACATAATGCCTGCCACATTGCTGAGACCAAGCACTGGGCGATGCCATTACTCCATTACTCCACCCCAAATTAAATATTCATTAGGATCAGCAAGATCCTTGTCCACTTTGTCAGCGGAGCTTGTGCGACATGAAAATAATTAAACCAAAACACTTGTTCAACAGATAAACAGACCCGACCCGTATGTACATACATACGTATATAAATCGGAGCTCCCAGGGAACAGTGGCAAAAAAGTATCTCATAGAATACATGTTAGCCATGAGATACAATTACGCTGCGAATCTTGGCAGCAAATCAAAACTGCTAACAAAAACTTTGATTGGCCACAAAAATTCACACAGACGCAGCAGCAGCAGCTAATTATAAAAGGTAAAAACAAAACAAAAAGCACATAAAATTCATTCTCGCTGGCATACGAAAAATGTGCGTTTTCGTTGAGCATTCAGAAGTACTGAAAACTAACTGAACAATCAATTGCATAGGCCCGGCTGCTAATGGTAATGCCTCGATTTCAGCCCAACTCGCTCTGCCGCATAAATTTACACCTTATTGGCCCCCATAGCGCCCATAGCGAGTACGTGCCGTGGATCTCGGCTTCGTACAGCTTCGTTTTGGCCAATTGCTGTTGGCCAGCCCGATTGAAAACTCTATAATTAAAGTGGTTTTGACTCAAATTGGTTAATCATATTTGCAATGTGAAAATGAAACGAATCCGCTTAAGAATTCCGATTTAGACATTTGTGTTTGCATTGCATTCGAGGAATTTAAATGCTATAAATATTAATTGGGTATTAAGTAAAGGAAAAAAGAAATAATAGAGTTTTGGGGAATGATTAATGGTTAATCTTAAAATATAAATATTGACATCTTGTATATATTTCTTTATTCTACACCAATTTAATACATTTAAAATACATAAATAGGTAGACATTTTAATACAACTTCTTCGTCCCTCTATGCTATATATTCTCAGTGATTTTTAAAGTTATTTTAAGACTTATATGTTTATTAAATTACTTTCTAGTTCTGGTATTTATTGATTCGCTGAAAGCTTCATTTAGAAACCATGAAACCGAGGACTTAATAGGAGTCTGGACGTACCCCTAATGATCCCGAAAAAGGAACATACTTCTCGCCACTTAGTCAGTCCTTTTTTATCGTACTCGTGTATAATTTTTTTAGGGCTGGCTCCAAAAAGGGAAGGCTATGCCATCTGCCAGCGGGGTTGTTGGTCATTAAGCCAATGTAGCGTAAAATTGCTGGCGTTTCCGTTAGTTCGAGTCGCATCTGTGGTGTCAATTTCACACATGTTATGAGCACTTTGCGGTCGCCAGATTGATGACTCTTTCGATGAGTCCTTGTCCTTGCCAGCTAATCCTCGAGTCCCTCGCAGTTCCGGCCAGGAAGTGTCCAGTGCTTGGTCGGTCTTTAATTTAAAATTCTTGTAGCAAAGCCAGTGTGGCGGTTGAAAATCATGACAATGACAATAACTACAAACTGGCAAAGACGATGATGAAGTTGGGCGACATGGCCAACAGAGACCAACTCCTCCAATCGGGCCAGAAGACACCCGAGGAGATGGCGTTAGAAAGGCCAGAAGAGCGGGTATCCAAAGGCAGGCAAAAAGTGCGATCGATTGCAATGCACACCGCATTTCAATTGGCTCCAGGAGAGGAATACAGTTGGCCAGGTTGTCCACCAACAGTTGGCCACGAAAGGAATTGGGTTATGACCTCGAATGCGTGTCGCCACGGGCAATGCCACGATGCATCTGCCTTAAACTTCTGGCCTCCAACGATTCGCAGATCCGTGGTCCGCTCGTGATTGAGCCGTTTGGGCTTAGAGAGTAGGAAAAACTTAGATTTCTTATACATTTTTTAAGCATTAACCTGAGCTGAGTTTGGGGGAAATATCTTTAAAGAAAAAGTTGAGTAAAGATTGGCTTTTCTTTTAAGTTATTCCATTGTTTATCCTATCACAAGAAATATTCTTTAGAGTGTGTTTTGGTACCGCTTTCAGTAAAGCAAGTTAGAATAATTACTTAACTAGTAGAAAGTTATCAAAACTTATTCAATTATTTAAAATTAAATTGTTTCATAAAAAAGAACAATTTTAAGTGGAAGATGGAAAATTGATTATTCCTGGTTCTTCTTTGAATACTTTAACCTATGAAGATTGGTATCCATATTATAACTAAAATGAATATTAAGGTTCAGTAACCTTAGCTTTTATAGACAACACAATTTTGTTAATAAAAATGGAAATTACTTAATCAATAAATGGCGAACCCTTAAGGCCAATATTTTACACAAAACAAAATGTAAAAAACTTTAAAAAAAATATATTTAAAATTTCCTTTTTACTTAAAATATAAGAATAAAATTCAAAAAAAGATTAATCTGAGTTTTTAAGTTTCCTAAAAATGCCTTGCCAAAACAGTCGAAACTCTTCGCCGACTTCGGAGTTTAGGGTACCCCCTTCTTATCCCTCAGAATATAAGGGAACAACGCGGTGGCAGAAACCGGGACCTATGAGCCGTAATGAGTGGGCAATTTTCCACAGTCGGTATCAGGAAAATGCGGCATCTGCCGCTAAGGCAGAAGCATCCGAAGACAGGCTGAGTAACCGCATGTAAATGTCCCTTTTTGACTTTCAAAAATTACTCTATGATCAGAGTGATTAAAACTTCACTCATCGGAGTTAAAAAAATAGAGAAAAGAGTTATTTTAAACTAGAATTTAAACCTCCTTCAGGTCAGGCGGTAGTGTGGCCTCGCAGAGCACAGTAGCTCGCGAGGAGCACATTTGGAGACTGAGCAGGCCGCGCTGGGAACGCTCCAAGTACATTCCGCCACCAAAGGAGGTATTTACCTATCGGCCAAAGACCAATGGACGACCATATCCTTGTCCGGAACGAGGTCGACCCACGAAGAAGCCAAAGGTTCCGTGCTGCTTCCAGCACGAGGATATCGAGGCAGAGTTTTGGGCCAATTTACGTTTTCCCGTCTCTCGGAAGGCCCTTGAAGCCCTTCCCAGCAAAAAGACTTGCAAGCTATCCCGGCCCCGTGAAATTTGCTGGGAACCGCCTCGGTTCGAAGGGGAAATTTACTGTCGCAGGAAAATGTCACCTAGACAGTGGCGATGTCATCTGGAACGACTTCAGTATTTGAGCCTGCCAAATTTCCGGGTTCTAGCCGAAATGGGACCGTGTTGAACCTTAGTCAGTTCCTAAGGATTTACCATAGACTACAGTTGTATTGACTCAAGCTTTTGAGCTAAGCATTAAGTTGGTACAACTGTAGTTTATTGTAAATCTTTTTAGGTACACTCAAAACTTTACATTAGGCAATAAAAACAAATAGAAAATCATAAGCTTAAAACCGTGATTCCAAAATAAACCTAAGGATTGCAGAAACTCCATGCTAAAGTCTTTGGAAAAGCATTAATACTGAACTCATTTAGCATTATTGTTTAAGGTTTATTATTCTATGTGGACATTATCACTATGAAGGAAAAGATCTCTCCAAGTTTTCGACTTTATTCCGCTTCGAAAATCCTTAAAAATATGAATAGTAATAGTAATAGTAGGCCCAGCTTAACTTATTTGTTTTTTAGATTCATTTCTCAGATATTCCCAGCCTGGTTAGTCGCAAGACAACAGTAAAAAAATTAAAGAGTTTTCATATAACAAAAAATCTGAAAAAATTACCAAAATTTTGTAAGTTTGTAAGTGTTAGTTTTGGGCCAATATGAAGAGCGGAGATCCGTCAAATGCCAAGTTAGAGATCGTAGTTGATCGCAATGATATTGTGGAAACGTTGGCCTCCCCGCAAGGCTCTAAGGTACGAAGTTCTGTCTTTCATACCAAGCAACCACCATCCTGGGAGTTATGGTGCGAACGTAACTCGAAGCCGGTCAAGCGACCAAGGCCTCATTATTCCCACTGTCCTACCCGGTGGCAGAAGGCTGGACCCATGACCAAGAAGGAGTGGAAGAACTTTTACGGCTGGGCTCTCGAACGGGCACTTCCACGGGAACGTGAGCTGCCAAAACCGGAGAAGGAGCCTTGTCCTGCGGAATACATGCCTTGTGGCCGACCGAAGCGTCATCTGGACAAAGATCAGATGGAGGAGAGAATGATGAAGTTGGCAACGCCCCGAAAGATCACCGAGAAGTACAAAAAGCCAGACAACTCGCCCGCGTACTCCCCTATGATCTCTTGGGGCGTCATGCCACATCGCGATCCAGGAAGACCCTTCAAGCCACCACGCGTCCCGTGCTGTTTTCCAAATGATGAGATCGAGGCAGAATTCTGGTCTCAGCTACGGTTTCGTGTCCGCCGTGCCGCCCTCTTGGGCCAGGCCTCACCGCGCCTTATGAATCTGTCCAAGCCCCGGATATACCCCACTCCGAGGAGGCCAATAGGACCCTTGGATATTGAACCGCCACCGAGAAAGAAATTCACAAGGAAAGGATGGCAACAGCATCAGCTCCGATTGCTATATCTATCCCAACCTGTGTCCCGGACAGCAGCAGAATTTTATTTCTATACAGGGTGTCTTTGTTGTGCCCATAATGCTACTGGAGTTTGATTTTGAATTGTATTTCGTTCGTGTATTGTAATTAGTAAACTAACGTCTAAACTTCGGCTAAAGGTTTGGGTTTTATTGCTTGTTTACAGTAGCTTAATTCTTATTTGTTGCATATATCGACTTGGCAATTATATAGTGTGCTCTTCCTCGAATTGGTTTGAAACATTATAAAACTTGATCACAGTTTTGATGTTCAGTTGGGAAATGCTCAGCAGATAGTTAATATAGTCCAAATCGCTCTTCAGGCTTAAGATTTCACAATTTGCTCTGCTTAATTTGACGTTGAACCATCCCAGGGCATCGGAAATTTCATATTCTTTATCCTCCGACTCACCCAAGCAATTCAGTTTAATCTTTTCGTGATTAGTAACAAAACGAAGGGCTGCCGTTGGTTTTTCCATTTCAACACTGAGGACTATCATCTCCTCCCTGACTTCTTTGAGCTCGTCTATCTTCAACTGCAGCCTATCACCGAGGATTTTAAGTAGATCCTTGCATTGTTGAAACTTGGCCCCCAGTCGCTCCTTTAGATCCTCAATGTCGCCATTGTAGTTCTCTGGACTGGACATAAACTCGCGGACATCCGTGATGCGTTGCACCTGGGGAACGGTCAGTTCCGGAAAGCTAATAAGCGGTTGGACATAATCGAAACTTTCGCCTGGCGTCATTTCCACAAAAATTCAGTATTTACTTTTCACTTTTAAAATTTTAAAAGATTTCTTTTCGGTTCGCCGGACAGGGAATCGAATAAGATGAAAGTTAAGATGCTCTCTAAGCAGCAATATTTTCATTGACTACTGCGATTGAAAACTCTTAAGATCCGCTTTGAACTATAAGATCCGACCAAGTATGCTTCTCTCCTAGAGTCACTCGGTTATGTATCAGTCTTTTTATAACCACCACCCGGCACAACAGAAATTTTATTTTATGTTTTAAGTTCGATTAGGATTTTACAATCCCATTTTTTTTGACAAAATTTTAAGTAAGAGTAATTTGCCAGCAATAGAGCCGCCAACATGAGCATCGTGGCGGAGGAAACCAAGGAGAGCATCATCGCCTTTGACAGTTCTTTTCAGCCCACTTGGCTGGAATGGGTAGAGCGAAATGCCAAGCCAATCAAGCGCCGGATCAACCGGGAGCCTCGCATTGTGACGCGATGGAAGAAACAAGGACCAATGAAAAACTCGGATTGGCGCCGTTTCTATGTATGGGCTGCCACCAAGTCCTTGCCAAAGGAGCTGCCAGAGGTGGAGGTGGAGCCGATACCCTGCCCCGAGAAGTATCTGCCCTGCGCAAAGCCACCAAGGCAGATCGATCCGGAAGATTTGGAGGAAAGGATCGCTGAACTGGCCACTCCTCTGGAGCGCAAGATGACGCCGAAGCACGAGTATGATTACCCCGTGAACGCATACTCCCCCGTCATTGTCTGGGGTCAGCCAGCGCATCATGACAAGGGACGACCCTTCGAGCCACCCAAAGTCCCGTGCTGCTTCGCCAACTCGGATGTTGAAGGTGAATTCTGGGCCAATCTGCGCTTCCCCATCCGCCCAGCCGCTCTCAAAGCCAAGATCTCGCCACGTATCCTCAGTCTGTCGAAGCCCAAGGTTACACCACAGTTCCCGCCGCATTGCTATCATCCGGAACACGTCTACGACATCCTGGATGTCAAGCCGCCCATGAAGAGGAAGAAGTTCACGCCTCAGGGATGGCGCCTCCACCAGATCCGGCTTTTGTATCTCTCACAACCGGTGACGCGACGGGAATATGAATATTTCTACATGTGATTTTATGCTGCTGCCAGGGAGATCTCTTACCATTTACGTATTTGAATCCAAAGTAATTGTAATAAATCGACAATAGATCATTGGTTTCTTATATGACCTGTATATCGAATCATTTATAGATGTTAAATTTGATTTAGCCTTTCCAAATTAATTTGGCTTGGAAACTGAAATCAAATCTGTGTGCTTTTGCAAGTTGCATAAATTTAAATATTTGTTACCAGTTGTTAATGGAAATCATAATATTACCAAATGCTTTTAACAAGTATCCTAGAAATGCTCAAGTCTGAGTTCTGTATATTGAATTCCGATCAGTAACAGTAAGGACGTTTCAAAACAGAATATTTAAACTTCTGACTATATAAACAGTTAATGATTTTGTGTTATAGTAAGAGTTACGTTAAGAATGTTTCCTTTAAACGATTTTCAGGCTACTTATGATACCGTCCGCGACGAAACCGACTTTAGCTAATCCGTTAAAAAATTAACAATTTCACACACAGATAAGAATCGCAATTTATTCGACTTTTATGGCTTACAGTAGCTGCCACTGAAGGCAGTGGCAGCAACTGCGAAATGTAATCTAAGCTTGCAAATCTGCCAAGGCAGAAAAGAACTCAGGGGAAAAATGGAAAAAATATAATAAAGAAAAACAGCCAAGGAAGGCAAAGAGGCCACTTAGTCATGGACGGCGCATTACAGTCAAAGGTGAGGCATCCGGGCTCCGAGATTCCCGTACCTCATTTCGTTTATCAGGCGTAACAAACATGCGTCACATTGACTTTGGCACCGGGCCCCGAGAGCTAGGATCAAGGTTCACAAATGATCATCAGTCAAATCAATTAGATAATTGAATGAATGATTTGTAAAATCCGATTATGCCTGCCGGATTCTTATTTCTCTCTCCAGCCCCAGGTCCATTCTCCTCTGCTTATATTATTTTTCTCATTTTACTTCCCGTGTTTTTGTAGTATATTTTCCTGACTGCCGGGTGCTTGTTGTTGTTGCCGTTTCTTTGGCTTTCGTGCCAATTGGTAATATGAAGAGGGCCAAAACCTCAAAGTGAATGTAGCAAAAAATATTTATTACAACTTTATATACAACTGGGGCGAAGGTAATACTTGTTATTGATAGCAAGAGCTCAAACATAAGTTCAATTCGGGGGTGGTCTGTGGGGTGGGATAGTGTCAAGGAATTTTATTTTCCATAATTTTTGAAGGGTTTGAAAGAGTCCTTTAGGCATGGTAAAAATATGTGTGGAATTCTTTAAGAGATTAAATTCCAAGATATCATTGAAAATTATTTTTCTTAAATATTTATTTAGATTTATTATAATTACAAATTTTCATAGAAACTCTAGGAGTTTATATTTATATATTTGATCTTTTAGTTTTAGAATTTCTTTATAATTTAATATTAGAAACCAGGAACTATAAAGCTCTGCATATCCCTCTTTCCCTGGTATTTTCCTGCCATCCCATCAACCCTTTAGTTGACAACTAAATAATGTTAAAATAATGATGAATAATAAAGCTAAAATTTGGTTGTTTGGTAGTGTTTTGATGTTCTGCTGCAATGCCGCTACCTTTGGCCAAAATATATGTACACAAACCGAAAACGAACTGCCAAAAAAAACCCAAAAGAAATGCCTTGGATTGAATATTATTGATAAAACTTGTAACTGGCATCTAGAGAGTTCAGTTCAATAATATTGCACTGCAATAGTAAAAGTAAACCAAAGCCCCTTTATCGTTAAAAGGGGGGACCTCTCATTCTCATGGCAATGAATCTCCTGTTGCCAATTCCTTTGGCGACTGTTGTCGATGATCACTGTACCGACTAGACAATGTCGATCATGATGAGTGCCGATCATCTCGCAGAGATGATCATCTGATGGCCAATGATGATGCTGTTGGCACTTGTGTGCACAGCATACCAAAATAGCTGAGCGCCGCCAGGTGATGTGTTGTCGCCGGGGCACCAGACTAGATATCTATGTACCGCACTGTACCGCACCAGTGGAACAGCAACATTGCTGTCTGACAATGTACGTCTGCCCGCTGATTGCTACTTTTTCCGCTTTTTTTCTCCTTGTTTATTTGTTTGTTTGTTTGCCGCAGCAGTCGCTGTTTTATTTATGCAATTTACAGTTAAGGCGACTTGAGTCGGTGATATATACAGATATAACTTGGCGAAACTTTAACCCTAGATGTTGGAGTCTCAGGCTGAATTCTTTTGATTGATTTTGGTGTTATACAGGTTCTAACTATTGCAGGAAAGTTGTATTTAGAAGTGAGCTAAGATTGTCTTGTTTAAATTGCAGATTGTGAAGTAAAATATTGCATATTGTAATAATTATTTCAAATATCACATCATATTTAAAAACAAGATTATGGGAAAACGCGTTCTTAAGTTCTAACAAGACAGGAAACTTTCTTCGGGAGGATCAAGTTAATATACCCTGGTAGTTTCCAATTAAATTATAGGGTTGAATCAGAAATAGATCATAACTAAGCTAAAAATATTCGCATATGACAATTGATTCAAGAAATCAAAGTTTACAAATCTCATAGCTTAGTCAAAAAACCAATAATTTTAATTCGAAAATAATTTCTGTTAGTTTTTAGTTGGATAATAAATCTGCATACTAAAGATAAAAATTTAAAGTATTAATTTTTTTTTAATTTTTGAATATTTTACCGATGTAATCCCTTTCAAATTTTGAAAAAATTGTATACATTTTTGATCTACAAGACATGCCTAGATCGATTCGGCTAAATCAAAAATATAATCGATTTATAGGATCGGAAATGACTCCTTCACATAATTACACACAGCAAGAGGATAAAAAGTGAAATACCTTTTATATTATTCCCTCTAAAATTCCATACTTCTTTTATTCGCGGGTTAAGATTTATAACATGGAAATATATACATTGCTATACATATATATATTTTGACTTTGACAGTTGCCCCAGTCTAGGCCACGATAAAAGTTGAACTAGTTTGTGGCTGCCACTGTGCCATTGTCTTGCGGGGGCATAAAAAGTAACACGTTGAATGCGCAAATATGGTCATGGCACAAATAACAACGATAGTGCGGATTGTGGGTGCTATAGCATACTCAGAGAACGAGATCTCTGGACCTATTCTTAAGGCAATCCAAGAAGGAAAAAGGACGAGCCGAGCCATCCCCATTAATTAAACATTTCGGTTGCCAGCCATAAAATTGTGGTAAATGTAACGAAACTCCAATTTTAATGTTTGTTTTTCGTTATATAGTTTATTGGGCCAGATGTTTCTTGATATTTCAACCGCCAACCGCAATTAATCAATACCAAGTCACCTATAAATTTCCGTTCTGTTTTTTTGTTTTTGCCTTGCAGACTTCCTCGGCGACCTGAGCGGCATTTCGCCGATGCGGAGACGTCACCACCCGCGCGGCACCAAGCGGGGTCGTCCAAGAGGCAGCACGCGGCGCGGCGGCGGACATGGCTCGATCCAGCGCGTGCTGACGCCGACCCAGACCCAGACGCCGACCGCAGCAGGAACGGGAGCGGGAACGGGAGCAGGAGCGGTAACAGGAACAGGAACAGGAGGGGAAACGTCTTCGCCGCAGCCCAAGCAGGAAGTAAGCGGCGGTGGCGAGAGCGCCGGAATTGCAGTCGGCGAAGAAGGTAAGGACACTCGAAAAAATTATAAAGAAAACAAATAAATCATATCAGGATCAGAATTTAATTATATATTTCTCCACTATTTCTGGCTTGTTAAGTATGGCAGAAGGGAGTATAGGAAAGGCTTTAACAAATATAGAAAGGTTCTATTGATAATGAAGACACAAGATTTGAAAACATTTAATTCAACAATTATTTATTACTTATAATGTATAGGAAATTCTTAATATTTTCCTATTACAATTTCGTACCTGTTTTTACCAGTGCACCCTTTTTCCTTTCCGCCTTCCAACCCACACTTCCTTTGTAAGGATTACCCCCTCTGTTGAATCGAGTGTCACTTGTCGCTAATCGCTTGTCATAATCACGTTTATCGCTGCCTTTTTTTCATACGAAACAAGTATTTTCGGGTACTTATTGTCAGTTTCCTCCCCTAGAGGTTGCATTATCTGAATCTAGCTTTGTGGTTGATCTACCGATTCCCCTTTCATTCTCTTTTTTTTACGAATTTATGTTGTTTTTTGATAGGTTTCAAGTACGGCCCGCAGGAATACTGCCGCCTTTTCGTGGTACGTGACAATTTTAACGCACTTCCAGAAAAGGGGAACTCTACATTGCATCTAAATTTTATACAATAAGTTCCTCTTGAGGAAATAATTTCTGATAAAATTGAGATCCCCTTTCGGGGCGGCGTCAAGTCAAGACAAATATTTGTTCAAAGATTTGCATCTGCCTGCATTGTCAATGTCTCCCCCTAGTGACTTTTCCTTTAAAGTATCAAAGCTGTTAATTGAATTGACTTGTGGAAAAGGACATGAACTAATTTACAGATTTAATGCCATAGCAATTTGCAAGAACACGTTGCAAGGCTCTGATTTGGTTCATAATTGAGCCAAGTAATTCGCATCTGGAACATGGTAAATTTCCTGAATTTAAAATCACATAAATTTAAAGGGAGAAAAATCCGCAAACAATGTAACAATTTTCAGTTGGATTTTGGGGAAGTACGACAAATGATAATTGAATAAATCCGCTTAAAAACCCAGACGCCTGACGAGGGGAGAAACACGTGACAGGAACACGTTTGGTCGAAAATGGAGCCATAATCGCAATGACAAATACGCAACGTTGCATAAATTACACTCGTCCAGACGGAGGACTTTTGGCAATTAAAAAAACCACAATTGCATGCATGGCAGGGGTAAACGAGTAAATGCCAGGATACAATGAAACGTGCGGCGATAAATGTCAGGGGAATTAGTAAGAATGTTGCTGATCCTTCGAAAGGACATATTTCGAATCAGCTAATAGGTTCTGAGAGAGATTACTTAAGTGTGTATTTCGTTCTGTCAACTGCTTCATCTTAATATATTCCAATGTACTTGTTAATTTATTCTGTATTTAATGTGTTAGAAGTTTTCAGTTTATGTTTGAAAAACTTTTAAATCTTCGTACTTAAAGTACAAATCATATTTGTAATATACTTTGTAATACAACATTTTAAAATCTTTCCTTTCTTTTAAAACAGAATTTACAACAAGCCCCGTTCATTCCGCACAATCGCCAGGAATGTCCGGCAAACGTGGACCAGGAAGACCTAGGTCCAAGACCTCCACCCCTATTAGCCGGGGAATCCGCGGAGCTCCACGTGCCCGCAGACCCGTGGGTCCTCTGCTGGTGCCACTGGGACGCAGTCCGGAAGCCACGCCACCGAGCAGCAGTCCGGCCACAAGTCGAGCGCCCAGTCCATCAACAGGACCTCATGGCAGTGGAGGGACCGAGTAGTTCTCTCACTATATTAAAATATAAATTGAAACGAACCAAAATTAATAAAGATGAAAATATTTGTTAATAAATTAGTTGTTTTAAAGGGTGAATAAACAATAGATAAGTTGATTTTTTTAACCGATAAATTGTAACTCCCATTACAAAACGATCAGTTTCCACTGCCAAATTTGAATTCAAAGTGAAATAGTTTTAGATCCTTCGCTAAAATCTTTCATTTAAAAGATTGTATTTACAATTTCTAAATAATTGGTACCATTTTTTAAAAGTTAAATTTGTATTAAAATCTAAATTATATCTCATGAATATCTTAAGCAACAGAAATCAAATTCCCATCACTTTGCTGATGAGCAACATAATGTTATTTTTATGGCAGTTTCAATCGTAAATTAATATACTTGTAAAACTGTTAAAACATTTCCGTTGACACTCGTCAAATTAGCCTGACTCTTTGATGGCGTCCAGTTCGTTGGCCAAGACCTTTAAAAGCCAGGTATTCACGGATCACCCGTCAACATAATTGCTGATGGCGGAAACAAAAACCTTCTAATGAGAGGTGTAATAAAAAATGTAAAAATGTTGTTTCGAGTCAAGGCAAGTTTCTGTCGTAATCAACACCGCCAACGCGTTGAAATTAGCGCAACAATCGAGCATAAAATAATACATACTCGTAATTAAATTAAGAAAAACTATGAAAAGTTGGTGAGAAAGCGAAGCTCATAAGGGCATTGGAATCATTGTCATATTTGGCAATTAGTAACGGAGCATGATTCCCGGTACAAAAAGGTTTCTTGTGCCAAACAGAAAGAACATTAAGTCAGTAATATACAAAACATATACATTTTATAGCTATTATATTATAACAACCAAACTGTTTTGAAGAGGTCTCGCTTCTAAGCAGAGCAATGTCTGAAGAAAACAAAGCAAAATTATAACTATTTCTGAAATATTTTAGAAAAAGGAACAATAGTATATATTCTTTTTATTAAATGTAAATTATATTGTATTTAAAAGTGTATTTATTAACTGATCGATAGTCTTTTGTAATGTTTATAGCTTATTTTTTTAAATCTTGGCTTTGATTTCTTTCCGCTGAGCTTTGCTTCTGCCTGGCATGGCCTCCAGTGGCATATTTATCTTTTCAATATGACAATTCTTAATATTCCAACTGCAACTTGTTTTCCTTTCAGTGACTGGCGACTTCCAGTTGACGACTTTGGAGAACTGCCATAAAGCTGCACGTTTCGACCGTCTTCGCTGCAGTTGGGGAATCCGAGAAATGTTAAAAGTGTGCATTTATGCCAAGTGGCATCTGCGGCGGCGTCGGGCAGCCAGTCTCCTCCCCCTTTTCTCCCACTGCCCCGGTGCGTTTATTAATTAGCAGCCATCCCAGAACTCCATCGAAGCAGGTCCAGAAAGGAACACACGAATACTCCTCTTAATACCCTTGTATTAAAGAGTTTGTACCATTTTAATATATTAAGATAGTATAAGACAACTCCCCCTAAATTTATGTAGTTCAGCTACTTAGTATAGTTTAAATTTGTTGTCAGGGAAACTCAGATATTTATCTTCACAGCTCAAAACATTATTTCATATATATTCTAATATTATATCAGACAACCAAAGGATATTTTATAATTGCAGTGGGCTTAAAGTATCTTAATTGTCTTCTATTCAATCAAATATATGAAATACATAATCTTAAATCATAAATTCTCTCTCTTTTCTTCAACTTCCCATTAACCAGGGTACTCTCCGATTCGTTTCCCCAGACAATCCTTGAATTCTAGTTTTTTTCCTCAATTAAAAATCACAAACAGCATTTCAATCGTTGTCGTCTGCTACTGCTGGCTGCCTCAGCAGTTGTTGTGGTGGATGCAGGAAAAGAAAATTGTTGAAAAGCCGGCAACAGGTTAGCCTGGCTCATTGGCGTCAGTTGATAAGTTGCGGGGAGTTACTATATCTTGTCCTGGTCAGTGGTATGCAGCGATTTGTATGAACTACTGTGCCAGGAACTTGGTGAACTCGCTTTAAAGTTAAAGTTAATCCTTCAGAATGCAGCTGCTTCCGTGATAGCAGCAGGCTGAAAAACAAAAAAAAAAAGAAGAGAAAAAACGGACCCAATCCCTTCTCGGGATTTAATCCAGCGCAACTAATAGGCCGCAAGACTTGAATCCTTTCTCTGTTATTCATCGGGAGCCTCCTTCCTGGGCTACTGCCAACCTAAGCCGGCCAAGATGTTCCGTGGTCTATAAATCAAGACAATAAACACGGATCTATCTGTGCGCCGTGCAGATTGCATGGCCACACCTTGAAAAAATAAGCAAAAGGATTTAATTTTCTTCAAAAGCGAGATACAAAAAGGGGGAAACTCCAAGTCCTACTCCTTTCATACTCTGCCTACGCATCCCGGCGGCTTAGTCCTCGAGTTGGGCTCATCCTTAAAGGAAAAAAACGTAAAAGAAGAACACGGCGGCTGCTCTAGTTTCCCTGCCACTTAAGAACAACAGAAGGGACGGCAACGATGGGATGAACCCTTAAAGAACTAGAGAATGCCATTCATCTGGCAGGCTTCTTTTACTTTCGGGAAAATTAAAATGTCTACTCCTACTATTTGTCTGCGAGGGTTCAGCCTCGGTTTCGGTTTCTGGTTTTTTAAGGCCTCTCCGGTCTCTGGGCACATCCCTCCAGCGACTATCTATCATATGTCCCCATCCCCCAAAGCCGGATGGATGATGAATGCGCGCGTTTGGCGTCTCTAATTCAATTTATCTTAGACAAAGTCAACGTCTTTTATATCTCCGCATAATGGATATAATGACGGTGCGTAGAGCAAACTTAGCTGTAGGGGCAGATGTCCTTTGATTGTTTTTTAGGCGGCTGTTGTCAGTGTCGGCGATACACAATGTAATAATGCACTAAAGCATACAAGATGAACAGAATATAGGAAAGTATCTTAAAGATACTTTAGTCTTGAATTACGCTAGAAAATATATAGTCTCTAATTGTGAATATAAAATAATTGTTCAAAGACCTCCCCACTAGCTGTTTTTCTAACCAAAGTTCGTTGTCTAAGTCATTTGTTTTTACAACTCTTTAAGAAATTTATGTCTGGAAATCAAAATTCCGAAAATGTCTAGAGGAAACCTATGAAATCCACCGCCCAGGGGGAACATCCGCCTAGTCAATGCAAACAATTTTAATGTAAATATTTGAAACAACATGCCACTACCGTCGTACTGCCATAATGAGCTCTGTTCTTCAGTCTATGCTGAAGTCCTAGTCCTAGTCTTAGTCTTAGTCAGTTAAAAATAGTGCAGTCGGAGCAGAGTCTCTGTCTTGGGGAGGAAAAAAAAGCTTGGCCGGGAATCGAGTGGAAAACACGTTACCAGCTTTAATGCATCAATTAAATTTTTTCTTTTAATTGTTGTTGCGACTGACTGACTGCTGCTCTTTGCTGTTGTGCTGCTGTTGGTGGCTTTTTGCTCCTGCTACTCCTGTCAGGCAACATGCTGTGCTCGGTTTGTTTTTTTCTATATTTATTTTTGCACAAATTGTTGCCTGCTTGGGGCATCTTGGAAGCTCGTGTTTAGTGTTTTTGAAAGCCAGGCCAAGTCACTTGTCCACAGCTGCGTCGTGTGTTTATTGATATGTGTTCATTATTGAATTTAGTTTGTAGTTCATGTTGCTGGATTTTGATATACTCTCGGTTGGGAGTATAGGGGATATGTTTTTCAGACTAGTTAATATTTTCTACTTTCTAAGAAGCTTTGATGGAAACTTATTTTATTCAATTGATAATTAACTTTACCTTTACTGAAATATAGGTTTTATTTATTTAAGAACAAACTAAAAGGTATCTTTATTGTTCTTTTTCTACTATAATATATCTTTACCATACTTTAAAAACTCAAAAGTACTACGTAACGAATTTGTGAGGCAAAACAAGGTTTATAAACCCTTTTCTTGATTTAAATAAGGAATTAAATAAAATAAAGAAACAAATGTGTTTTACAATTAAATATTATATTCACAAAGATCCTAAATCTGATAGAGTATTTTTACATTCGCCTTCGCAGAACTAATTCTTTCTAAGCTTGGCTTTATTGTTTTTATAACCACTTTTTTTTTTACCGGAATTGTTAACAAAAAGTCAATTAAGTTGGCAAAACTTGTTGTGTACATCTGGCATTTCGTTAATGTGGGAAATTTAAAGATTTTACTAAAACCCATTCGAAGTGATTGAAGCTAAGCTAGAATCAAATGTAAGAAAATTTCAACGATTCTATTAAATGTGACTCCCATAAGCTCAGAACATCAGATATTTCTAAAGAATTATTGTCCTTCTTTAATATTTTAATTTAATTAAGTTAACCTCCCCGTCTTTCTGGCAGAATTCAATTTGCTCAGCTCCCTCGGACATTTCGCAAACTAAACAATTACTCAATTCGAAGGCGCTCCCCAGGCTGGCAATGCATTCGCCATTAACATATCGCATCCTGTTGATCTGTGGACGACGATCCGCAGATCCCTGAACTGAAACCGAAACTTGACAAATATGCTTTTGGGCCTAATTATACCCGAGGAGAGCATGACTGGATGAGCATGCCCGGTGCCCAGGAGCTGGACGTGGTCGTGTGACCCCGATTCGGGGAGCCCCTTTCGGTCTGTAATTACGCGAAATGAAAATGTGAATGTCAACCGGAGGGGGGAAGTTAAAAAAATGGTAGCAAATTAAATTGTATTAAAATTTCTCGTATTTCTGGACTTTATTTGCTTCGTTTTTATTCGCGTGTGAACAGAAAATGAATTCCCAAAATAAAAAGAAACTTGAGCTTGTAGCGTCATCGTCCATAAAATGATGAAACATTTCAATTTGGTTTACGCCCTTTCGCCAACTTATCTGTGGGTAAGGAACGCCTATCTCTGGTGATGATCTGACTTTGTGAGCTATTAAAAATATAGAGAAAAGACATTTGCATATAGAGAAGATAGGTAGACACAAGCCCAGGTCTGTTGTCACTAGTGTTTAG